TATTTTGTGTATTTTCCATTTTCTTTTCTAATATGTTTCTTATTTCAGAAGTTTAATCTTTTGCTTAGGATTAAATGGAAGATGTTTCCAATCATACAGAAAAACTGGAACGTTGTGTTGCGATAAAATTAAACTTACTAAAATATTTTACATTAAAACATTTTTTTCAGCTAACTACATTAGCTGCTTATGAGAAAGCAAAAGATCATCATCCAAAGCCGCACTTCAGACCTTTGACAGAACAATAGAATGCTGTTTTTTCATGTCAGATGTAAAAAAGTATACCATGGATTTTGTCTCACCTGATAAATGCAGGAAACAGATGTTAGTCCTCTTCTCTGTCTGTCGGAATCTGCTGCTGCTGCCTTTTTATCTCTGAACAAGTCGACGCCTACTCCCGACCTCTTCCTCCTGTTTGTCCCTCCACTCATTTAGCGCCTCAGGGTTGAAACTGTCTTCTTCCACCAATGGCTGGTGTTCACAGAAACCTTTTGAAAATGTACCTGCCTCACCTGTTATTCGTCTTATTCAGCCCGTTGATAACTACACTACTGTCTTATGGTGAGAACGGGGACAGAGATTCGATTTGGTTTTGACTCAAAGTGTCTCCGTTTATCCTTTTCAAATGTGACAGAGAAGAGGGACATGAGTAAAGTATTTTTAAATAAGGGGATGTAGCAGGTACACAAACATCGAGAAGAAAAACCTGCCTTGAGCCCAACAAGTTTGAACAGTGCTCTTCCTGCTCGCGCCTCAAAGATATGTTCCAGACTGACCTGCCTCATGTTTTGTACCCGTGTCTCTTCTGCAGATGCAAAGTCGCCTTAAGCATTTCAGGACCTTTTTGTGGCCTCGTAGAAAACCTGTTCACACGTGTTGCACAGTAAGGCCTCGAAGTTTTAACAAAGTGATTTATTAACATTCATGTTTCATTTCTACGTCTTTTTCCCAGATATATATGACAACAATTACTTACAATATATTTAATTAATCATTAAACTGGACCTGGACCTTGAGAGGTTTTATTTGAAGTACCTTCACTCTGTGAGCTGATAATCAATGGTTCTGAAGTAACTCAATTCAGAGAATTCTGTGTGGTCCAAACTAAATACTCAAAGTAAATGTTAAATTAACTCTTATCTCTGAGTAGTTTTTTGTCATTTTGGGTTTGTATCTTATGTTTGTTCAAGTGTCTGATAAGTTTCGGCTCCATTTCCCAATCACGGCTCTGCAGACCCAGATGGATAAATTATCTGAAGTCTGTGGAACAAACAGTGGGACTGTGGGTTTCAGTCGTGGTAACAGTGAGTTAAAGTGTCTCAGAAAATAATCTTTTGTTTCTTCAATGGCCCTAAAGCCACATGTGCTGTCAGTCGTTGCGGAAAATCTTGTAGAACTGGTGTAAAATGCAGTCGGCCATTCAAATGGAAACACACGTGTCAAATTAAGATAAAAAACGCTGCTGTGCTGCATTTTAGTTTTAACTGGATCAACCAAAGACTTTTCAGGCTGATTTACTCATTTTCACTGGTCTTGAACATGTTTTGATGTTTTAAATGTGTGCTGTTCTCCTCCTGGCAGTTGCTGGTCTTAATTTTCTCTTGCTGCCTTTTCATCTTAACAGGAAATCATGTGAGGGCGACACCTCCTCCTGGATGTTTGTCTCTCGACTCATTTTACACCTAAAGGTTAATATGAAGAGCCGTGTTCTTCCACTACTGGGTAATTCAAGTTTGTCTTGTAAAATGCAGTCAAACACATTTGTATGCATAGGTGAAAGACAATGTTGAAAACCAACCTGCCTGACCTGTTGTACCACCTGTGGATTTGTCTTCAACACTACACTACATTGAAGTGCTGCCTGATGGTGAGAACAACTGAGGTTGAAATTTGAATGGCTTCAATTGTGCTTGCCAAAATGTTATGTTTAGCCATTTCAGACATGTCCTGCAGAGGATGTCTGGAGAATTGGGTCTGGTCTTTCTCTGCAGCTTGCTCTCTGCTGGTAAGCAGCATTTTTTTCTGTCACCAGAATGAATACATACTAATAGAAACATCATCATCAAAACGAAATATATATATATTAAAAACAGGTAAATACAAATGTAAATTAAGACTGTTAAACAGCTTTTACCCACAGGCCATCAAAGCCATCCCCCCACCCCCACCCATACCTTCCAAGTTAAACAACAAACACACACACCTACCCCCTCTCCCATTCTATCCAAGGACTGTATACAACACACATACACACACTCCCCTTCACATTCTATCAAGGAACTGTTTTAAACAACACACACACACACACACACACACACAGTCTACCCAACGTGTACAAATTGCACTGTTATGATGCTGTTACACTTTACTTAGGTTTATTCTCTTTAGCTGTGTTTTTCTAAATAAAGAAAAATGTACATTTAGATTTTTACTTCTTGATTCTTGTTCTGAAAACAATTTTCACTGTTTTAATGTTGGTGACAATGTTGAACATTGACAATAAAGGATTCTGATTCTAAATATGCTATCTATCTATCTATCTGTCTGTCTATCTATCTATCTTAACTTAAACTTCCTTTATTGATCCCACAAGGGGAAATTCTTTTTACACTCATGTTTTCATTTTTATACATGCATTAACCCACAATCCCCCCCCCACACACACAGAGGGCTCAAAGACATGCACATTTTGGAGAGAGAGATGGTAGAGTGATGGGCAGCCCCGGTTCCCAAACCAAATCTTTACGGACTGAGCTACTGCTGCCTCTATCTATCTATCTATCTATCTGTCTGTCTGTCTGTCTGTCTGTCTGTCTGTCTGTCTGTCTNCTATCTATCTATCTATCTATCTATCTATCTATCTATCTATCTATCTATCTATCTATCTGTTTGTCTATCTGTCTATAATTGATATACATCTATATATCAGTGCGGTGTAAGTAATGAGTAATGATGTCATTGAATAAAATAATAATAATAATTTTTACCGGGATACTTATCATTGACCGGAACCATCGAGCCGTCGTGCCGTGTTTCCCCTGAGCCCATTTGCGGTGAACGTAGCACTATAAAAACGTGTCGCCGGAAACGTCACGTCCTCTTCTAGTGATCCAACATGGCGGTGAGTAGCGTCGCACAGTGAACGACGGCCATCAAACGTGAAGTTACAGCAGAAATCCGCCATCATCGGCGCTGCTGCGTCTTTCCGACGACGCTCGTGTGTTCAGATGATTAGACCCAAACATGGAGGATCGAACTAAACGTTTATTTCCTCAATAAATGCGACAGAATAGTTTGAAAGCAGAACACCGAGCGATGCTAACGGGCTAGCCTCAGGGAAACGCCGCTCCTCCGTGTCTGTGGTTAATTCTGTGCCCGTGTTCGTCACATGTCTGCTCCGCGTCACCCTCGAGTCAGAGTTCGTCCTTTTCTGTTAATCGGCTTTTACAGATCTACGGTTTGTTTTTCTATTTCCGGCCACATCTCGCTAGTTGTAATGCTAATGCTAACAGCAGAAGTATGTACAGACATGTCCGGCCGGCATGTGACACGCTGAGGACAAGATCCGTGTCAGGACTCGCAGATCCAGAGCTTCCTGCTCCCCGTGTCTTTCTGTGGTGTTCACCTGGTCCCTATGTCTCAGTGTGGTGGTCTCCTTGTCCCTGTGTCTCAGTGTGGTGGTCTCCTGGTCCCTATGTCTCAGTGTGGTGGTCCCCTGGTCCCTACGTCTCTGTGTGGTGGTCTCCGGATGTGAGTCCATCCTGCAGGTTCTTGATGTCTCTTGTTTCTCTTTCTTCTCCAGGACCAGGGTGAGAAGAAGGAGAACCCCATGCGAGAACTCCGCATCCGCAAGCTCTGTCTCAACATCTGCGTCGGTGAGAGCGGAGACAGACTCACCCGAGCTGCCAAAGTGCTGGAGCAGCTCACAGGGCAGACCCCCGTCTTCTCCAAGGGTGAGTGTTAATGTTCTTATGATGCATGTTGCGGTTCAGTGTGTCAGGTGAACTTGTAGTTTGAGAGGGAGGTGGTCCGAACAGATGAACTGCAGGAGGATGAAGTGCATCTGTAACTTGACTTTCTCCGCCCGCAGCCCGCTACACCGTGAGATCCTTCGGTATCCGCAGAAATGAAAAGATTGCTGTCCACTGCACCGTCCGTGGAGCCAAAGCAGAGGAGATCCTGGAGAAGGGACTCAAGGTGAGTCATGTCTCGTCTGACTTAACATCACCGCTGAAGAGTCGTGTTCCCGTCTCTACAGTCGTGACAGATGAACAACTATCATTCATTTTTAAGCAGATGAACAGTTCGGGTGCTGCTATAATCTAAATTCTTAGTTAGCTGCTTTCAGATATTCACTCTACTCCTCAGTTCCTCTGAATTTTCTCCGGAGGAGGTGCATGTGTGTAAACGTCTGAACGCGTCTGTGCAGAAAACCTCTCGCTGTGTTGCTCATGAGTGAAAGGTGCTAAACTCTGGGGCCTGTTCCTCAGAGTTTACTCACAGGTCATGTTTGAAAGTGTCCAGATGTGTTGCTATAATTAATTTGCCCAGAAAAGAAAATCACTTCAAACCTCCACTGATGAATTTAATTAGTTTCCTGTTTTAAAATTGAACAAGGATTTTGGTCAGTCATGAAATGTTCATGTTGAGTTTGTCTGTTCTCTTTCAAATAGAGATAAAAGAATCAGTCATCAAACATGGCTGATGGTTTCCATGTTTAGTATTTTGTAGAACTTCTGAATTGACTGACGAAGGCGGTGATTTTTAAATTGAAGTGAAATTGTTGCGTCCCGTCTGATATTGTGACTAAGAAGCTGTTCTCTTCTTCTGCCTCCAGGTGCGTGAGTACGAATTGAGAAAGAACAACTTCTCCGACACCGGAAACTTCGGCTTCGGCATCCAGGAGCACATCGATCTGGGCATCAAGTACGACCCCAGCATCGGTATCTACGGACTGGACTTCTACGTGGTGAGTGGCAGTTAACGTTCGCTAATATCGTTATTTCCCAATTTATACTTTTCTAATTTATTAATTTGCTCTGAACTGTACTCACACGATGTTTGTAGATTAACTTCACTGACCTTCATGTTGATTTTAAGAACCTTGGTTCTGCTAAAAGTTTTGTGTGTAGGTTAAGTGTCTGTCAATCATTCAACATGTAGTGATAAAGTTAACCTTGGCAAGTACACATGAATATATTGTCAGCTGTCTTGATGTGGCTGGATCTCAAGATATGAGCAACCACCAAAATTTACATTTTACTTGTAAATAAACTCAATTAAATACTCAAGGTAGCTCCGCAGTTGGAAGCTTCACCTCCCTCTGTCTTCAGTCTAACCCTGCGTACAGAGAGCAACAGCTGGTTAGCAGAACAAACATTTCAAAGGTCAAATGTTCCGTTGAGGTTTTTCTGAGCGCCTCCGTCCTCTCGGTGTTCTCAGGTTCTGGGCAGACCCGGCTTCAGCATCGCCGACAAGAAGCGGAAAACAGGCCGCATCGGTTTCAGGCACCGCATCCGCAAGGAGGAGGCCATGCGCTGGTTCCAGCAGAAAGTGAGTACACGCAGGGTCATTACACCACATTTCAAATGTGACGTTTCACAGAGGAACAAGTTAACTTGGTTCCTAATGTGCAGCAGCACCTGAAGCTTGTTCTCACTTATCCATGATAAGGATGCGTCCACTGACGCTAATGTGAATAAAAGGGTCCGAGAGTTTTCCTGAAATTATGATATCAAACGGTCATGTTGGATATTAATGTCAACCTGAACGTTTAACTTCAGCGTCTAACCTGTTCTTCCTTTTTTCTTTCAGTATGACGGCATCATCCTCCCCGGGAAGTAAAGGACCACCTTTTCATCTTGTTTATAACAAAGTAATAAAAAGGAAAAAATGACACCTTGGTCTTGTGTTGTTACTCTGAGGGTTTTCACGGGTTTACAGTTACTTTCACAAACGTAGGATTCTCTGAAGAAATAAAAACGGAGTTTAAAAAGGAGCAGAAATGCAGATGTTTGGGACGTAACACCGTGGACACAGCTCGAAAAATACCAAGTTTGAATCACAGTTTCTCATTAACCTGTGACAAACACAAACCATCGACCTAAATATATTTAAAGTCACAATCTGACAAGTGCTGATTTCACTACTGATCACATTCATGACGATTAGTAAAATGGTTTACATCTTTTTCTGTGCTCTGGACTACGTTTCCCAGCAGCACCGTGTATCTCAATGAATCAACAGGCAGAGAATGATTGAATGTTTTGGTTGGATTGGCTTTATTCAGTGAAACCACAGACATGGAAACCAATACAGAGGGCCTGAGCCGATCAGAGGAGCCACACTAGCCCCATCGATGATAGTTATCAATAACTGTTTGCTCGACAGCTCCACCTGCTGGAGTCTCACTGGTTCTTCAGGTGGTCGCTTTGTCTTAGTTTCAGTAAAAATTCTGCAGGAGGCAAAAGGTTTAACGCACAAACACGGGTGACTTCGCACATTTCTATTTCCTCTGTCGGTTTTTTCTTCTACATTTTTAAAAAATATATTTTTAATCTTGTTGGTTTCTTAGAGAAGCTAAAATTTGGGATGGAGCGAAGATGCTTGTATGTTTTTTTTAATCCTCAACTGTGTTGTTGCCCTCCTCCAAATTAATCTCATTGCATTTATAAAATGTTTGTTTTTTAAGAACTACCTCTACTTTTTTTTTTTCTTTTTTTGTCACAATCAAGCTTCACTACTTCTGACAGACGTTAAATAAATTAAAGGTTTCTTCACTACTGCTTTTTCTCGTGAGAAATATTTTCAGTTTGTTGAAGAGAGACCTTTTTTGTTGTTGTTGGCTCATTTCCTGTTGCACCCACACACTCCTGTCATTCACCCAGTTCACACACACACACACACACAGTCGCACTTTTCTTCACAGCCTCACACACACACACACACACTTAGATACATCTTTGTACACGAACCACCAGTGGATTCACAGTCATCTCGATGTTTGTTCAACCCGAACCCGCTCAATTACAAACAGCCACAGTTCCCATCTTTCCCTCCTCCTCCATCCATCACCTCCCCACCTTCACCTGCTCCAACCCGCCTCTCATCCCTCTTCCACCTCTTTCTCGTCTGGTTCCCTTCACCGTGGAAACCCCCTGAGATCTCTGTGGATCATGCAGGCTCTCTTTTCTGTCTGGCAGCTCTGACGCTGCTCACATCTGGAATTAGACTGATTTTAACTTCATCACTTTTCCAGGAAGGATTCATGATAAATTCTGATGATATTTTTCTGATTGTTTTCCTTGTGGGCCTGAACAGAAGAAAGAGCAGACATGATCCAGATTAGAGCAGTAAACGATTAATCGATCAACAAAACAATCATCAGCAACCGTTCAGATTAATCAAGTCTTTCATTCTTTTGAGGAAAACACTGAAAATGTTAATTCTTGTCTGGTTAAAGCTGGAATATGTTGTTTGTCTCTGTTGTTCATTTTAAACGGATTCTCTTTTTATTCTTGGTTAACAGTTAACCGACTAAATCAATCTTTTAACCCAGACTGTGACTAATCATTGGTTGCAGCTCTAATCCAGATGTTCTCCTGAGGTTGAACCCCTCCCCCCCTCTCCTCGAGTCTCTCTCTGGCTCCATGTCTCTATGCTGTGATGCTTTGTGAGGGGGCCACGCTGCTCTCTCTGCTGCGGTTCTTCGCGGCCTGCTGCTGCTCCTCGCTGGTCGGGGTGTTGCGGTGCTGCTGGCGACGCGGTGCGTGGCGCGGTGGCAGGGTCAGGGTGCAGCAGGACACTCCCACTGTGGGTTCGGGCAGATCCTCGGCCATGGACCAGCTGTCAGTGGCGGGGTCGTACTTCTGGACGGCCGCCTTGTACCGCTTCTCCGCCTCGTTCCAGCCTCCCAACAGGTACAGCTTGTCGGCCAGTGGGGACAGGCCAGCGGTGCTGACGCCGAGCAGGAGAGGGGCGGTCCGGCCCCACGCTCCACTCTCCGGAGAGAAGACCTCCACGGAGACAACATCCACCCTCTCTCCACCAGGCCCCAGCTGGCTGCCTCCCACCACGTACACCTTCCCTCCAAGGGTGGTGGAGCAGTGCCAGCCACGGGGAGTCTCCAGGGAGGCCTTCTCGGTCCAGGTATCGGTCTCCATGTTGTAGCAGGCCACAGAGCGGGAGTAGGCGCAGTTGATGTACCCACCGGTCACCAGGATGTCCCCGGATGGCAGGGTGGCACTGGAGTGGCAGCAGCGGGGCACCTCCATGGGCGCACGCATCTGCCAGGTGTTGGAGGAGGGCAGGTAGCTCTCGGTGGTGGCCAGCAGACCCTCCACGTTGCGGCCTCCGATGGCGAAGAGGCGGCCGCCGCTGGCAGCCAGAGAGAAGTGGGTACGGCGCTGGCGCATGCTGGCCAGGTGGAGCCAGGTGTTGAAGCGAGGGTCGTATCTGATGGAGGCAAAGAGAAGAGTCTTGTTTAGAGCAGTGTGAGGAGAATACAAGCCCCAGAGCTCCAGACAGATCACATGAAGTGTTGGTGATGTGAAGAAGAAGCCACAGATCAGCTGACAAGCTCCTCTTATGGGGAATCATCCCCCAGGTTCAGTTTGGGAGGCGGACACCCATCTTCTACGTTTAAGAGTAAAACCTTTGGATAAAGCTCATAATTAGAGCTGGTTCTGTCTTGGACCAGTTCTTAGATATGATACTGTGAGTTATTTCTGCCAGTGAAGCAAATCTGCTTTTGTGGTGGAGAGCCAGTTCTTCGGCTGCTGAACCACAAAGAATTGATTCATGATAAGAAACCGGCCCTTGCTTTGGTGAACTCGATAAATTTGGGCACCAGCAGCTCACTTTTGTCCTGGGGCCCCACGACAAGGGTTATATTAAAGGGCACAGTCAGTGACACAGTTGTTGTTAATGTCGTTTCATGTACGTGTCCTTCAGTCGAACCTGCTGAGCGTGCTGACGGCGTGTTTGGCCTGGTTGCGGGCGTCATTCTGGTCCTCTCCTCCGGCCACGTACAGGAACCCGTCCATCACAGCCACACACTGGTTGAAGCTCTTCGCCGGCAGCTGGGTGAGGTGACGCCAGGAGGCTCCTCCCTCACGAGGGTCCCTCCACAGCACCTGGACACCGGGGTCAAAGGTCACCGGGGGATTTTCTTAAAAGAATACATAGATTTCTGAGAGCAAACGTAGACCAACCTCCCGGCTGAGAGCCCTCTCGGTGAGGGACGGACGGCCTCCGATGGTGAGCAGAGTCTGCTGACCCACTCGAACCTGCGTGCGTCGGGACTGCAGGGAGTTCTGCTGGTAGGGCAGCAGGTGGTAGTTCATGGCGTCAACCAACAGGCGGTGACACTGAGGGTCCAGCATCATGCGGGGCACCGGCTGGATCTGACTCACCAGCTCGCTGGCCGGGATCGTCTCAAGACGAACGTGACCCAGGAGCTCGGCGGCGTGAGTTTGACGAGAGGCATCGAAGTCGAGCCACTTCATGGCGAGCTGGAGAGAGGCGTGTTCAGAGAGAGAGAAATACAACATGCAGCAGGTCAGTGTCTCGTGTTACAATATAAAGATCATCATCATATTTTATATCAGACACCAAAATACTTAATAAAACCAAAGTGTAGCTGGTGATGAAGACTGGAACCTGTTTTTCAGTGTTTTGCAGTTTTTGAATTCCGAATTAATGATGAATCAAATTTATATTAATAAATTAAAACAAACCTGGATAATGATCTTTATTAATTAATTAGTTTACGTTTGAAACAATCTTCTTCTTCTCATCTTTCCCAACAAGTCCCATTTATGGTTTTCTTCTGATTTTAAGGTTCAGTGCGTGGAACTTAGTGACATCTAGTGGTGAAGTTGCATGTTGCAGCTCCATGTTACATGACAGAGACCCTCATTTAAAAACACAGAGTTTTACAAAGCTTTTGATTTAATTTAAAACTAAAACTTGACCTGACCAAATGAAGCGTCAGTTTATAAATACAGCCTCCACTTCTTCTCCATCCCTCAGCTGTCTATTTAGATCCGCCCTGCAGTCGTGTATTAATATACGCAGCTCTCCTCTTGAGAGTTATACTTGGTTTCTGCTCACGCTCGACCTGCAGGGGGGGCGGCCTTCGGTTCGTGGCTCTGTGTTTGGCTCTGAACAGCTGGTCTGGGGTCTGTTTTGAGGGCTGGATGAAAATAGCAGAACAGCCCGAGAGTTGATGATGAAGATCTCTGGTATTTCTCCTCACTTATGATACGAGAAGCGAAGAGTGTGTTCATGTCAAAAACCCTGTGAGCTGAGGAGTTAGAGTTGAGGATTAAATCTGTGATAAGATTAAACGACAGCTGTGATTTATTCTGACGCTGAAATTCATTAAGAAAGCCTAATTAAAGATTTCAACTATCGAACTTCAGAGACAAAGTGTGACCTCTGACCTGGAAGGCCATGACCTCCGAGGGCAGCACCAGCAAGTCGTCCTGCAGGAAGGCAGAGATCTGCTCCAGGGTCAGCTGGGTGAACAGCGGCGTCTCGGAAAACTGCACAAAGTTCTCCAGGACGAAGCGGCGGGCGGCGTCGCACACCGGCGGCAGGCTGTAGGCGGCGGCGATGTTCCAGATGTAGACGCAGGTCTGGACGTTGAGCTCGGCCAGCAGGAAGTCCATGCACATCTTGAGGAGCTGGGGGATCTGGAGGGTGGCGGCGGCGGAGACGGTGCAGCCGATGGTGTAGAGGGACATGTGGACGCGACCCAGATAGGCGAAGGTGATGACGTTGGCCAGGCCTGCAGACGGAGAGCGACCACACATTCAACACAACATTGCTAATTTCATCTTTAAACAGTCTGGGACCCTGATTAGATTTTAAAATAAAGTGATGGCGACTCCAGCTCCTTAAAGTTTGCGTGAACAAATGATCAGTCTCTTCACTGAACCCTCTCCCAGGTGGACACAGAGTAGATTGACGTCGTACCCAGAGGGGAGAGCGACGGCAGCTCCAGACGCTTCATGCTGGGATCTTTGGCCAGAATCTCTCTGAAGTACTGACTGACAGACGAGATGACGAGTTTGTGGACGTCGAAGGCCTTTGTCTTACAGGCCAACTCCAGGTCAGTCAGGAACCTGAGGCAGGAGCATGTCAAAGTACGTTGTGAATTAAAAACACGAAGTCCGTCACAGAGCAGCTGGATATCACATCAGAACTTACTTCTCCTGTCGCATCTTGCTGAGCTCCTCCAGCACGGCGTTACCATGCAGGGGTCGTGTCAGCTCGCTGCCCAGGCCCAGGCCCCTCTCTCCGGGCTTGATGACGGGCAGCGGCAGCGGCAGGTTGAGGCTGTTCAGCTGAGCGATGTCCAGCGCCGCCATCTGCTCGATCTTCTTCACGCCGCTCTCCACCACCACCACTCCATCGCCCAGGCTCTCCACCTTCAGCTGGTTTGTGGTGGTCTCCATCACCTGAGAGATGGTTTCCATGGCCGGCTTCTTCTGACGAGGGGCCTTCTTCTTGGGGGCCATCGTTTGAGTTTTACTCTGAATTAACTTCAGCAAATGTTTGACTGTAAATTAATTTGCTGAGTTGACAGACAGAGACTCTGGTTCACTTCTATAACAGAGAAATAAGCTGTCGGCTGGATGTCGTAGCTACGTGTTGTCTTTGTCTTCTTCGGAGCAGAAGAAACAGTCTGATGGACAAACTGGTGTTTTGGTTTGTTTGAGATTTCGTTGGTGGTTTCGCTTCAACACAGCACACAGCACCTGAAGGAGAGAGAAAGGACAAACACTTTACTTTCCATTTAAAAGCAAAGACACAGCGTATTGTGTTTGTAAAACAACAACATATTTTAGTTTTTATACACAAATTAGAATAAACCAAAGAAACCAAAGGGAAAACTTTCCATCTCACTTAAAAAAGTTTCATCTCTTTCTGTGTCTTTATATATTTAAGATTATGAAAGATAAATCCGTTCAGAGCAAATGTTGCATAAACACTGACAGATGCACAATGCACAACACAACAAAACACACACACTCAGTAACATTTCTGAAATCTATCTGAGGATCACTGTGTGTCTGTCGGAGTCCGGGTGAGTGACAGGTGCGTGTGAAGCTGAGCTCAGGGTCGGGGTTTGCGGTTTACAGTACCTCCCAGCATTCATTGCTGCGATTCACCCACAGAGCAACTGGGGAATCTTATTCACGCTCGCAATGAGTCCAGGTCCAGGTCAGCACAGAGCCTCCGAGGAGGGAGGGGTCACATGTGCAGAGGGTGACCCAGTAAACAAACAGGAGAGAAGCGCTGTGCACGGAGTCTCCTGGATATAAATGGTTCATATCTAGCTTTTTTTTTTTTAGAAAGCTTTTATATCTGCTTAGCAGACACATAATATTTAATTTGTAAACTTGTGTTTTTCCTGAATGACAATAAAAGGAATCTTAAATCTTGTTTCCTGGGTTTGGTTGTGTATCTGTTGTCGGAGCAGCTTCATGCACATTAGGTCCAAACTGAACATTTACAAAACTGTGAGCTTGTTTTTGTCTTTTTTATTTTGTGCAGCTCGTCTGCAGAGAATCCACAACTGTGGGAATCAAGAAACCTCTCTGAGATAATGAACTGAAGCTGATTTCATCATAAAACTCTTTTAATCCCTTAGTTTTTCCCCCTCACATGAATTTAAATTTTGGCTCCATTTGAAGCTTTTGTCGAAACACCACAGATTTCTCAAACTGCAGGTTTGGTTGTAGCCCGAGTGGAAAATCTTTTCTCTGAGCTCAGCGACAGTGAGCCACCGGTGACCTCACTCCCCCTCCTCATTCACAGAACATGGCTCTTTTTTAAATAGCCCCTATTGGCTCGCAGGCCAACAGGCTCCACACATGGACAGGACACACGATCGTTCAGGACGGCAGCTGCTGTGGGTGTCACATGAAGAGGGGGGGGGTCACTGTCAGACTCTGCACAGGCCGCTGAGGATGTGGCAATCCCCTTTAAAACAGCCGAAACAGCAACCTCCAGCAGCTGGAACACCTCATTACGTCACATGACCCAGAGACATGTAGGGCGAAGACCCTCCACACAGGTTTGGATGGGTTCGAGACCCTCCCAGTGAAATGATCGCAGACACACAGAGCCACTACAAACGAGTGGAGAGGTGATAACTTCAGCGACGGTGCAGACGACGAGGGCAGGATGGTGATAAAACAAGCTCCTCCTTCAAGGGGTCACAAGATAAATTGTGAGGTCGTGAGGAAGATAAACGACAGGAAAACAGATTTCTTTTACTTCTCTGGGCTTTAAACTGTTAATAAAATGAAAAAAGAACCGATAACTCAAAAGTTAACTCTCAGATAAATGTAGTTAAAAACAAAGGAGGATATTTCTCTGTGGAATAGTGAGTGAGTAGAAGTTTAAAGTAGAATAAAGTGAAAATGCTACTCGAGTAAAGTAAGTTAAATGTATATATAGAAACTTTACACTAGTGAGAATAACGTGTGTGAAAAGTGAGATCAGAGCTTCGGGGACGTTTCAGACAAACAGATCTGAACCGGGTGATTCGCTGGCACTAAAATAATCTTCACTGTGCCGGGGTCAGTCAGAAATATCTGGGACCAAGGTTAATGCAGAGAGCAGCTGCTCCGTCATCCACCAAACTGTGAACGAGACCTCACCCCCACCCCCACCCCCATCATCATCATCATCATCATCATCATCATCATCATCATCACTGAGAGATAAACTGTAACCAACAACACCATCTTCTTTCAAAACAACATATAGTCTTACTGGTATCCTGAAACTGTGAATTCAATCATCTCAAAGCATTTGTCGATCATTTTACTGGATTCTTCTTCTACGACCCGAACGCTGCTGACTCATATTTAATCAAACCTTTTAACTCTTTCTAGTCATTTCTATTCACACACACACACACACACACACACACACTCACTCACAATTCAACGTCAAGTATATGAAGAATAAAGTTTCCAGATTTCCCAAAGATATTTTATCTTTTTATTTATTTTACTAATTTCCCCCCGAGTGAATTTGCATAAATAGTACGTGTAAATAAATGTTTTTATTTTCTTACATGTGTAGTTTTTGCCTCCAGTTGAAGTTAGTGACTGATTGACTGATCAAACTAAGTAGCTCACTACTCGTGGTTGTATTCTTCATGTTTTGTTTTCTACATTATTCTCCGTTATCGTCTGTGGAGCAGCTGGAACCTTGTTTTCTCTTCACCCTGCCTCAGGAGCTGCTGATCCACTTCTATGAGTCTCTTCCCTGCAAATCCATCACGGCCTGCTCTGGCTTGGACACAACAAGTTATGAGAACGATTGATTGGTGCTGAAATACATCAGCAGAGTGGGAATCACACTCTGAACACAACTGGTTCCAACTCCTGTTCTGTGGTCGATGCTTCAGGACAGACGCCAAAACAGACAGATACAAGTTTCCTTCCTCTCCGATCCCTCTGATGAATCAGTCACATTGTGGTCTCTACTCACGATTTCCTGTCTGGAATGAAAGATGTATACTTTGTGCATATCTCTGTATTTGATATATTTTATTTACTCTTATTTCTTTGCCTATTTTTACTTTATTTTTTGCACTTTCTTGGTTTCACGGGGATCTTCGTTTTGACTAACTGCTGCTGTAACAAGTTAAATTTCCCCAGTTTGAGATCAGTAGAGTTCATCTTATATTATCTTATCTTATCTTTGTTATTAAATATAAGCACAACCATAATGTACATAGATGTGTATATGCACTGGATATAACCACTTCCTGATTAGTACTTTATTACACCACCAATATTAATATTGGCTTCGGTACTTCACTCTTGAATGGAATCAAGGTGAAATCAAAAATGAAGTTCTTCATATAAATCTTTGAATATAACGATCCAGCTGGACAGAAATAACGTTCACCTTCACCTCACTCCTTCTAGATTTCTCTGGACTGATTTGAATTTACTTTATTCACATCTTTAACCTTCACAAAGTCGCCTCCTCGTTTGTTTTTACCTTTACTAACTTTATGTTTAGAATCATGTCACAGTGATGAAACTGTTTTTACTACGCAGTCACCACATCGCTCAGAATTCTCAAAGTTTCACCCAAAGCAGTTAACGACAGTTGTTTTCATGCCGTCACAAGACTTGTTGTTATTTTATGCATGTGGCTGCAGAGACAGAAACATTCTGGATCTTAAAAATGAAAAATTGACGTCCAGAGAAACAATATTATTTCTCAACAGCTTTGTAATTGTATGTGTAATATTCATGCCCTTTTAGCTCCGACAAATATGTTCGTCTTTCAAAGTTTTCACCGGCAAGTCTCTAATTGTGTCTCGTCTAATGTCTGTTTGTTTCCATGGAAGAGTAGAGTCGGTTTAAAACACTTTATCACTTACGAACAGCTGCATGTGGCATCTGGATCTGAGAGTCGAGTGAAAGTCCTTGTTTTTGCCACAGTTAATTCTAATATAAAAGACTGATTATTTGGAGGTCATTTAAAAATATCATCCAACTGAATCTAATTAATTCAATCTTAATAAACTTAAATTAACCCAAAATCTTACAAATTGCATTCATCCGAATGTGCGGCGACTGGATTTCAGTTTCTTTGTCCACCACCTGTGTGTGTGTGTGTGTGTATATATTCTGTACATGTACGCACACACACATCACTCTGATCCCTGCACAGCACCTCTTATCTCAAGGGTGTATTTATAGGCGCTGACCCCACAACATGTGTGTGTGTATTTCACTTTAAAGACTTACACCCTCGGCCATACAGTGATATCCTGACAGCAGCTGGCAACTGATTCACATTCTTTCCATTCAACCGTAAATAATATTACAGCAAATTACTTTGTGATGATGTCGTGAGACGTGTGTCACTTTATCTGCAGTTTCTCAATGAAACTGGGAGATTTAAGGAGTTTGAAAAGGAAATAAAAGAGCAAGTGGGAATTCTGAACTACAAACAGTCAAGGTGTAAGGTCCATTTAACAAATTGTGATGTTTCAAAGTCAAATGTATTTTACCTCTTTATCCTCCCTGGTTCCTGCTCTTCTTCTCGTCTTTTGCTTTCTCGTCTTCTCTCTTTGGATTCTGTTCTACCTTCTTTCTTTTTCTTTGTTGTTCTGTCCCTGGTTCCTCTTTGCCTCGTCCCTCCGTCCTCTGTCGGAGTGCTGTGTGTGTGTGTATATGTGTGTGTGTGTGTGTAGGTGTGTGTCAGAATCAGAGGGGAAGAGATCAGGGTCCCAACCAAAGCTGTGACGTATGATTGGACCCCCACCCCCCCTTCCCATCAAGCTCCAGCACTGCCTCCCTGAGCTCACATCACACCCTCTTCTACCATTTTCCACCTCCCGCCTCCAGCATCCACCTCCATCTCCAAATACAGGCAGCCTCTCGTCGCCCTCCCCTCTAAAAATATCCCAAAAGAGGGCAGCTCACTTCACCTCCAATCCCGTCTCACCCCGTCACCCCCTCACCCAGGAGGCCGCAGGGTTTCAAATGTTAGATTTGTTTTTATTTGACTGTTGACTTGTTTTTTTTACATTTTCACACCAACAAACCCGGAGAAACGCTCAGGACAGATGGATTTAAAACATGTGCATGTACTATATTTATGGCTTAGCATGTCAAATAAAACAATTATATATTATTACACCCTCATATACTAGAGTCATGATTCAAGATATTTATTTGCCAAATAAGTGGAAAGGAGTGGAAAAGCTTTTGCTGCAAAGCTCCATTATAGTGGGAAAAGAGAGGGTTTATAAGTAAGCAGTAAATAAAGAAGAAGAAATAAAGACAGTAATATCTAATAAAAAATGTATTTACAAAATAATCTACAGTAACTGAATAAGATAAGAATAAAGAGGATACTACATATCTAATATGTGGAAAAATCAATGGATATTCAATTTAAAACAATTTATTAAGAGAAAAGCAAAAGCAGCAAAATCTCAAATTTGTGACATTTAAAAAAACCTCTTAAACATTTTCGCCTGATGTTTTCTTTTAGTCAACTGATTAATGAAAATGAGGTTTTCAAAGTTATGGCTCAAACCTCTAAAAGTCAGCATGAGGGCCATATTGTTTATGTGTTGGCCAAAACTATCATCCATAGATCCACCACCACTTATTTTTAATGTATTTCATTTACTTTAATTAAATTCTATTTTTCACTTTCATTTTTATTTTTTGTTTATTGTTGTTTTATCCTTTCGTGAAGGAATTTGTAACTTTGATGAGAAAAGTGCTTATAAATAAAGCTTATTATTATTAGTAGTACTAGTAGTAGTAGTAGTAGTAGTACTAGTAGTAGTCGTAGTACTAGTATTCGAAGTATCATATTGGATTATTATTAGACAAATAATAACAAAATGTCATGTTATGTGATACGACATGAAAAGTGATGAGCTGTTAGTGTGTCGTATGTCACATGTGAAGTACATGTCACATATATGTAACATACATGTGAGATGAGCTAACGTCAATAAAAAAAGATAAGAAAGTTGACTTTAGCACGTGGGGGCGGGGCTAGGGGCCTCGGGGCCACAGCTGACATTGAGTAGGGGGCGGGGCTCGGGGGGGCTAAATTAGCGTTTTTCAGTGACGTCACGTGAACAGGTGTTCCTGCGTGGTGACGTATTTCCGCCTTTCACTCTTCTTCACTTTAATGGACAAACTTCAGCTCGTTCCTGTCCAATTAGAAATGAAACCGTCAGATCCGCATAATGGAGCCGGTTCGTTGTGTTTAATTCTGATCTGATTTAAAACCTCGATGGCGGACACTAAATCAGGCGGAACCTCCTCTTTGTTCGCCTGTGTTCAGTCCGGATGAAGTAGTTTCCGGGAGACGGTACCAGCAGTAAACATGGCGGAGGAGCTGCTGGAAGCGGTGGACAGACTTCAGTCGCGGCTCCAGGAGAACCAGGAGCCGAGAAAGGTAACGACAGACCCGGGGGAGGCGGGCCGGTCCCGGCTTTAGCACCGAGCGTCTCCCCGAACGTGGCGGATCGTCTCCGGAGGAAGAAACGAAGCCGGACGAGACGGTTTTTAAATGATGCGTTCAGGGCCCGCGGTTGCAATCCAGAAATCACAAAGCCTCTGACGCCGAGCTGCCCTTTGTAGAGTGATAAATACTGAAGCACAGAAAGCCTCAAACAATCTGAGCAGTTTTAACAAATGGTTGTTGTTGGTTTTCAGCCTGGTTTTCATCTCAATGATCTGCAGACGATTACAAAATGTCAGGAAAGAGAGGAAATGTCTGTCCCAAAGCAAAGTAGTCCCATAGATGTGTTTAAAGTTTTATTTACAAAGCACATTTCATACACAGTTTAAAATCATTTTTTTCAGGCCAAAAAAAGAACAGATTAAAAGAGTAAAATAAAAGATGTTAAAGAGATTTCAGTATGTAAAGTAAAGTATGAAAAAATAAGTTGAAGGATAAAAATAATACTGATAAAACGTTGTTAAATTATAGAAAAAAAACAACGATGTCATGAGCTTGTTAAATCGTTGTGTGAAAGACTCTTGTTATCCAAAAAGTTTTCAATCTGGTTTTAGCTCAAATAAAAAAGCACTTTGAGATTGAATTGCATGTTATTGTCACACGTAAACACGTGTCAAACGTAAATTCAATATTGAATACTAATAATATCCATTGGTTAGATATACGTACAGCTTAAATATAGAGAATCCAAAGTTTTATGTAAACATGGAAACGTATTTACACAATTGTAATCATTATACGAATGCAATCATGACAATAACTACTTGTATTATATTTATCAGCCACTTGTTCCAGATGCTGAATCTCTGCCTAAGAGAACATGAAAACCTTAAATTATTGCAAATACTGAATATAACCACAAAGAAACATGGGTCAGACACTCTCAGGGATATTTATCCCTTAAGATTCCTCCTGATATAAATTATATATCTCTCTACTCATATTTGTTTGGGCCATCTGACGTCTTTGGAAGGTGAAGTTTGAAATTCTGCTGAAAAAAGGGATAAATTTAACCTTTGAATCAAGTTTGAATTTTAGTCGCCACACAGTCACACGTTGTGATTCCATCCTGTCCCACAGCCCGTGAAGGCGTCGTGCGGACGTCATGCTAATGAAGGGGTTTTAACTCGTAATAACGTTGTTGTTTAGCTGTTAGCAAACATTAGCACCTGTTAGCTGCAGCGCACGTGCGCGCACATAGCGTCAGAAGTGAAAATAACAACACGAGGCTCAGCGTTAATTCATCTGATGGTGAAGTAGCCTCAGTGGCTGTTAGCATTAAGCTAGGCAGCGTTACAGTGGAGACTCCAGGCCTCCGATGTTCCCCTGATGATGTGACATGATGCTGCAGCACAACGTGTTCATCCCCGCTCACAGGTCTGGTGTTAGAACCCCGTGATTTGTTCCGTGGAGGCAGATCGTGATGTCAGTGGACGGTGCGTGACGTTTCCTTTGTTTACTTTCTGAGCTGAAATCAGACAAAGCGGCGATGATCAGTGAAGTAGGTCAACACGAGCCATAATCCGGTTTCCAGAGGTAACGGTGTTACAGTGGTGAACCAGAATAGTTGAGTTACAGCTCTGTGAAATGTTTTTTATTTCACCTCTGCCTCTTTAGGCCACGACACCCTTCAGTCTCTGTGAGGCAGGACTGAGTGTTACAGTCACAGCTCAGATACAAACTGCTGTGTTTAATAAAATGATCAGGCAACTTCTACAATTACATCATTCCTGAAGGTGGAAATGCTTTATAAATACTTTATTGATCCGGAGGGAAGTTTAAGAATAGAGCGGCCTCCTCACGTTCAGTCGAGCTGCACCTAATTGCTCACACGGATTCATGTCAGTGCCTTAAAGGTTCAGTGTGTAGAATTTAGTGACATCTAGTGGTGAAGTTGCATGTTGCAGCTGAACACCTCTCACATCCCCTCCCCTTCCAAAAAGGACAGAGAACCTGTTGTAGACTTCAGTTGTCATAAAAACTCTAAAGCTTTAGATGTCCAGTCTGGGCTACTTTAAAAAACATGGTGGCCTGCGTACAGCGGACCCGCTCCTGATGTAAATATAAAGTATTTAAATATGACGGACCCATTCTAGGGTAAAGAAACATGAAACATACGAGTGAAAACATCACTAAGATGTTCAATTTCTGCCAATTGGTTCTTTCACCTAAATCTTACACACTGAACTTTTAAGTACACCTGAAAGTGAAAGATAATTCCCGGATCCTTCCCCTTAATCGAATCTGTCTCAAAGGATTATGGGTTCTTTGTTGGCCCTTACCTTCCCTGCCATCGAGGACGTCTAGTAGTTTTTGAGTAACCCTGCTAACTAACGGGCAAACAAAGGCAAATGGAAACAAACCTCCTTTGACAAATCTCATGCTGTTGACAATTGTGTGAATCTCTCAGTCTAATGTCTCCCGACTCATTATAATCACCAGAATAACAAGGATTCTTATCTTAAAACCTTCTGATTCTAACAAAATAGCTGCCGTTACCTTTTTCACATTACGATAAATATTGAATTTAAATAACAACACTTCCTTTTTTCAGACCAGAGCAGCAATCTGCAGTGGAATTAACTGTGCACACCAGGATTACCAGTTTTTCTCTCTTTTGCAGCTACTGAAGACGCTCAAACGACTCGGGGAACTTCCCATGACTGTGGATATACTGGTGGTAAATATCTGTTGATTTATTTATGATTCATCCTTTTTGATTTCCAAACACAAAAAGGGAAACTAATGCTGCAGTGGTGAAATAGTTCAAACTGCTCTTGAGCAATGCATTCAATCCATGACTGCGATGTTAGACATGAGCTCCCAATGCGAGACGGAACAAAATGCTTTGCTCGCTCAGCTTTTTGTTTCTCGCTCGGTGAGATTTATGGCAGATTTCAGCGGAGCCAGAACATGTTGGCTAAGATATGATAACGGCTGTCAAAGTAAAATGAAATGTGATGTTAACCTCTAATGGCAGTTTTAGGATAAAAGTCGAGTTTTTATATGAAACCATGGACTCATTCTCCTCTGGTCTTTTGTAGGAAACTGGAGTGGGAAAGACTGTGAACTCCTTCAGGAAGCATGACGTCGCTGGAGAAGTGGCAAAAAGCCTCATAGCCAAATGGAAGAAACTGGTTCCTCAGTCTGCAGACAGGTACTGTTGATGCTACTGGTTTTCCTGTGCCTCAACATGTAAACTGTCCATGTCTGTGTTCTCACATGTCTGTGTAGTGCAGGATTCTGTTCCTGCTGCGATCATGGAGATGGATTGATTTATGGCCCTTTGAAACATCCCCAACAGTTCCCACGTATATTAAAGTTCAAACATTTGAGCTGTTTTCAACAAAAAAAAAGTGTCTTTCACATATGAAGAATGAAGCAGGAGCCTCTACTCTCACTGCAGATCTGCAAACAGCCTCTAAACAGAAAGATAGCTCCAAGAAAACCAGACTCAGGATGGGCGACCATCCTTTTTGAAGCTGAGTCATGCTGCCGTCCCAGAGATGTTTAGTAGAGTAAAACTTTAGAGATTTCAGAGTTTTGGGAAACGCATTTTTCCAGAAATCAGTCAGATAAAATGATCAAGCGTTCACCTTTTTTAAAACTTTCAACCATAGAGCACAACAACCGTGTGTTAATTTGTATTGTTATAATGTTGTAAGTGTTTAAATACTGGAAACGTGTTTTTGTTTAGCACCTAAATGAAACTTTAATTTTCCATGTAACTTATTGAGTGATGTTGTGCGTGACGTTATATCCTTATCTGGGTCTAAACCTTCAGGTGGCAAGCAAACAGCAATGGTAGAACCTGTGAATTTAGTCACCATTGTTTTAACCACTCTTCATCTTTCTCCCTCAGAACCAACAGTCACGCCAAAGAAGCCTCTCGCTCACACACCCACTCTCGAGGCCCAGAGGCAGATGATGGAGGCGGCCACAGACGCACCCGGGAGCCTTCCCCCGAGGAAGAGCCCTCCTACATGGAAGAGGAGGAGGAGGAGGAGGAGGAGAGAGGCTACCACACTAACTACTCCCCCTCTCCTCCCCAACACGAGCAGTACAGCCCCCCACAGCGAGGAGGCTACCAATCAGACGAATATGAGAGCCCCGAACCTGAACATGAACATGAACCAGAACCTGAGCCTGAGCCAAGTCCTCCTCGCAAAGAAGTCCGCCACGCCAAACCGTACAAAGAGCCCAGCAAGAACCACCACCACGGGGACCGAAGCAGGGAGCGCGACGAGGAACGACAGCAACGCCACACACAGATAAGTAGCAATCGAGGAGGAGGAGCAGACGAAGGAAAGAAACGTGCCGCAGACAGAGAGAGGCGACAGAGTCCGGTACAGAAGCCTGCAAAACACAACAGGAAGTCCACCACACACGAGAGCAAGAGGGAAGAGAAGAAGAAAGGCGGAGATGAAGGTGAGTGTTTTTGTACGACTGAACCTCCAAGTTTCTTATTTTAATCACACAACATCCTGAAACTGTAAATGTAGATGTTTTTAATACAGTGATACTTCTGAGATAATCATGACTTCCCACAATGCACTTCATCTGCTACTTTTTTTCCCAGGGCGACCACGAGCACCGAAGGACTCTCCACCCAAGGAGGAGGAAGAGGAGTTTGAGACGCCCACCATGTCCTTCGAGTCCTTCCTCACATACGATGCCCCAATGCCTGTCAAGAAGAAGAAGAAGCCCTCGTCTTCATCGTCGTCACACAGTCGGCCGTCTCACTCGTCGTACTCCACATCGTCTTCCCATCGAACCCGTGCCCCTCCGTCGCCTGCGACCCCCTCCTCCTCCTCCAAAGTGAGCAAGGCGAACGGCGCTCAGAGTAAAAAGAGGCCGCATTCAAGCTCCAGTTCGTCCGCTGCTGCACCGACGCCAGAGAAACGAAAGAGGGTAAAACTCTGCTTTTATTTTGTAGAATCAGTTTCCTAGCAACAGCAGCTTACTCCACGTCCAAGGTTGTGCGGAGAGCAGCTGTGACCTTGTAGATTTCAAAGCTATAGTAAAAACAAAACCTCTCTTTTGATTTGATGTCCTGGCAAAAAATATTCACTTTCTTTATCGTCCCTTTAACCATAAACCCGGTGCCGGGACATCGTTAGCTTGTTGTTGTTGTAAATCCAACAAGTCATGTAACAATAATAGAGAGAAATTACAGAAGGTATAAGTTCTGTATCTGTTCATGTATCCGTCTTAAAGACACTCAGTTCCCTGACTGTCCTTTTTTGTGCATTTCCCCATTTTTCATTTCTATAAAAGCCTTCGACGTTGTACTTCCTGTTTGGTGATGTGTGTGTATTGTTGCGTGCAGGTGGTCGAAGCCGTTCCGACTCTTCCTGAAATCCCTCTGCCAGCAATTCAACCCAATTACAGACCCCTACCCTCCATCGACATCACGCCGCTGTCCCCACAGAGACGTAAAGGTAACACCCTCACCTTCAAATGAAAATGAATGCAGTGTGGAATATTCTTCTCTCTTCTCATTTTGAACTTCAAGTCTAGTGATGTCAGGGTGATCCTGGTTTTCCATCACTTCCCCTGTTTGTTTCCCTTTTAACTGCCTGAGGAAAAACAACGCACTTAATAATCTGCAATCCACAGTAGCTCCGACTGGTCGTTGTTGATGATAAAAGTGTGAGTACATCTTCAGCTTCAGACTTTCACTCTTGTCCATCTTTCCTTTCAGTTCCTGTCTTCAACGATGAAGAGGACGCTGGCTTCACAGGGAAACGGTTCAACTCCAAGATGGTGGTCTACTCAGGATCCAAGACGGCTTACTTGCCCAAGATGATGACTCTGTACGAGCAGTGTATCCGTGTGCTGCAGAACAACATCGATTGTGAGTGGAGCTGCTGCGTTTTGCTGTTTTTACATTGAGAGCAGCAGCAGATTGGAATGTTTGGTGTGTCTCTGTCTCTTTCAGCCATCGCTGAGGTGGGAGGAGTACCATTCGACATCCTGGAACCGGTTCTGGAGCGATGTACGCCAGAGCAGCTGTACCGCATCGAGCAGAGCAACCAGGTAACACTCACACACACTCGATGAGGAAATGTATCACGAGTGTTGTAAAAAGAACTGACTTGTAAAAACAACCGTCCGCGCTCTCATCTTCTTCCAGTGTTTTACGGAGGACTCTGATGAGTTGTGGATGCGTCACTGTCAACGGGACTTCAAGCGAGCGTCTCCACAGGAGTACGAGTCGTGGAGGGAATTGTATCTGAGGCTGCACGACGAGCGCGAGGAGCGACTGAGGATGCTCACCCAGAACATCACGTCTGCACACGCCAACAAGCCCAAAGGTTGGAGAGCTTCTAACTGATGCTTGGATTGAGAGTTCCCCTTCACTGTGGACTGTAGAAGATGTGAATACTCAAAGTCACTCAGGCTGTGACATCGAAAAGTCAAAATGTTAAAGACGTTATCAATGCTTGGTTAGTTACAGGTTGAGTCACTACTATTATCTCAGCAGTAGAAAGAGGCAACATGGACATAATATTAAAAAAAATAAAAAGATTACTGTCCTTCACCCTTTTTATGCACAGTCATGAATTTGGGAGATAGTGTAACAGACTAACAGAGGCACAAACATGAGGCATATTTTAAAAGATCAAATCTTTTGTATGTTCTTATTGTGTGTGTCGTGTTTTTTTCTGGCAGGACGGCAGGTAAAGATGGCGTTTGTAAATTCTGTCGCCAAGCCACCTCGTGATGTTCGCCGCCGACAGGAGAGGTTCGGCACGACCAGCGGTTCGTCAGCTGCCTCCACCGCAGCTTCAGCTCCCATTAAGTCAGTATTATAAACATTACATCATCATGATGATTTGCTAAATATGAATTGATATTTAGACAGAAAATTTGTTGACAACTGCTTGAGTTGGCTTTGCAAAGATTTATCAATTGGTATTTTTTGGAATCTGGACTTTCCTTCAAATAAAACAAGAGGTATAATAACACTATGTCTCACTGGACTCAGTGATAAATCACAGAATTAAAGAAATGATCTTTATATTCATGAAAACAATAATTAGTTACAGTAATAAATAACTGATTCATCATGTGTCACCAGTTACAGCTTCTCAAATGTACGGATTTGCTCCTGATTCTGTTTGAATCAGTTAATTGAAATTTAAAATGAAGTCTGTCAGTAATTTTCTGGAACTCTTGATCTGCTGCAGGACTTTGTTGCATTTTGATTTGTTTTAAATTCACCACACTCACAGATCTTCTCCTCTTCCCGTGTCTCAGGATAAGGCCAGCTACCATAGACTACTCTGGTGAATCCAGTCGCTCGTCTTCATCCCAAGACAATCCTCCGCCCAGCTCGTCCCGCTCCTCCGCATCAAGTGGAGGAGGAGGTGGTGGCGGGGGAGGAGGAGCAGGACATGTTGCTCGGGACAAGCCACAGGTCAAAAGTAAGTTTGTGTTAACGGTTCTGTTCAAGATAAAAAAAAAAAAAAGATTTCTGGAATATCAGCTAATAAATCGTCTATTGTTGTTTCCTCTCTCTCAGAAATCGCCCCCATGATGGCCAAAACTATCAAAGCGTTCAAGAACAGATTCTCCCGCCGATAGAGTGAAAGAGACTGTGAATGTATTTTATGAATTCCATCTCTGTTTTTAATTTAAGTTTAGAAGATTTTTACTGGCGACCCCTTCATCACTACACACACACACACACCGTCACCTTTTCCCACCAAACACAACATATATGAACTTTACAGTATTGGTGAAAAAGTGATTATTATTTAATCCAAGCAGTGGCGTCTGTTTGGGTTTTTTTTTTAAACAAGTATTTGAACGGTGTGTTGAGGAAATTAAGGAAATCCAGAAAATCATGTAGCCAAGTTTTTACAGGATGCAAAAGGACACCAACACAAAGTCTGTTACTTTTTCGTATTTTTTTAAAGGAACAGTTTGACATTTTGGGAAATACGCTTATTCACTTTCTTGCTGGGATTCAGACGATATAGATTGATGTCAGTCTCCTGTTTGTAAAATGAATATGAAGCAACAGCCAGTTAGCTCAGCATAAAGACTGAAAATGATCTGACTACACCACCCAAAGCTCAACAATTAATGTTTTATCAGGTTAAACATTAAGTTGTTGCTCATATAAAAGTAATTCAGTCTCGACAATATTTAACTGCTTCATACTTCAGTTAAATTAATGATCAAAGCAGAGTCACAGTTCTTGAAAACCTGTGTCACAAATTATCATTTTCTTTCTTCTGCACTTCTGTTGAACCCTGGTAGATTTTTTTGGTGTTCAGTTCAATTCTTAAAAGATTTATTTAAGCAGTTGTATTTATATTTCTTTCAACTTTCTGGGTACAAGTCACCAGAAACTGTGGAAACTAAACAAAACTATGCAGCATTTAAATGTTACCAGGTTTTTTCCTCTCGGAGCCGACGTCATGTCTCCATATCTCGTCATGGTAAAGTTAAAACAAAACAAAACCCTGGATCATCCCCCATAATCCAATCTGCTCTTTTGCAAAATAGTGCTGACAAACAAACAAAAGTGAAAACATAACCTTAGCACCCGCAGCAACAACCACTTCCATGAAGCAACATCCACTCGACAGCGCCCTCTACAGTCACACTTTACTATGGTCACAGAATATGGTGTTAGCACATTACCCCTCCGCCACAACTGCCACATAATAGTTTATTCACACACACGATTTTCTACATAATTAACAAACAAGATATATAAGATATATCAGTGAGCGTCAGACGTGATGATAAAAATATTGTCTCCTCATTTCCAGCATTTATGTTAAGCTAACCGGCTGCTGAACGAACATGAGAGGCATCAAACTTCTCGTCTAACTCTCCACAAGAAGGTGAATGAAGCACATGTCAAACTTTTATCGGGTTCAGAAGGTTCAAACCTGACAGCCGGGCTCTTTCTGTGTGGAGTTTGCATGTTCTCCTTGTGTCTGTGTGGGTTTTCTCAGACTTCCTCCCACAGTCCAAAGACATAGATGTTAAATTGGGGGACTAAATTACCTGTTGGAGTGAATGTGAGTGTGAATAGTTTTTTTTTGTCTTGACATGTCGGCCATGGCGATCTGTCTAGGGTGAACCCCGCCTCTCACCCAGTGTCAGCTGGGATTGGCTCCAGCCCCCTCATGACCCTCAAAGGGTAAATGGTACAAATAATGAATGAATGAAACGTGGGACAGAAAAGTTGTGCTTTTAATATTATGATGAGTCGTTTGTTTAATTTGTCCTCGACCAAATCAAACACTGCGATAGGAAAACTTTTTAACATTTCTTTTGTCTTTTTAATTGCATGCATTGTGCACATCAGCTGCACCTGAAATGTCAACTGGCTGGTGAAAGACATGATTTGCCTGATGCATTTTTCAATTTGTGGGGCTAAAAAGGATATCAGTGAACCACACAAACACACACATACACACACACACACACACATTGTCGACTTGTTTTAACCCTCCTGTGGCTTCAGATCATGTTTTCCTGCTGTCCAATGTGTGCGTCCTCTTTAAATCTGCTTCACTGTGACAAATGGTTTGAGTTAGAGCTGAAGTGGTGACGAGGAAAAAAACGACAATAAGGAAAGAAGCCGGTCAGACGTCTGCGGCTTCAGTCTACAGCAATGATGATGACATGTATTTATTTTCAACCTTGGGACCCGGCACCCCACCACACGGGCCCTGAAAGGAAGTAGATTAAAAATTGTAATTTTATTAGATTTTAAAAAATGTTATATGGTCATTTTTATTAAAATTGACTTTTTGCCCTTGAACTGTTCCTGTTGTCTTCTATTGAACACACAGAGGAAGGAATCAGAAGCTCAGGCAGAGTTTTGTGGTTGTGCCTTTATTTAATACTTGAGACAGTTTTGAATTATCTCTCTCCCTTCGGAACTTTTATTTTGTGATAAATAAATGAAACAACATGAAATGAATCATCACCTTAATAAATGCAACTAAAGTCAAGATTAACAAAATACATTTTTCAAATTGCTAATTGTTATTAATTATTATTTTAATATGCTTTTTCAAAGTTATAATTCAAAACATGTACATTTATTTTATTTCAGTATTTTCTTTTCAAGCAGATGAGTTGTTTTATTTCGAAAACCTCACCCGGAAACGTAGTGTAACTTCCGCCCCCCTGAGTGACGTCAGTCCTCTTGACTCTCTTAAACTCTGATCTCGTGGTTTCACTTTTTAAAAACATCCGGAGCAGCAGCGGCTCCTTCCTCCTCCTCATCCCGGGCCCGAGTGACGGAGAGCGGCGTTTTCAGCTCCACGATGTCCGGACACGGTCACGGCCACGGCCACGGTGACGGCTGCGGGTGTGAGGGAGAACACGAGCCCGCGGAGAGGGGCCTGGAGTACGGACTGTTCCAGCGCATCGACGTGGAGAAGCTCCAGTGTCTGAACGAGAGCCGGGAGGGGGACGGGAAGCTGGTGTTCAAACCGTGGGACCAGCGGAAAGACCGGGACAAGGTAACCGCGGTTCAGAGCCTCTTCCCCCGCGCAGGTGCCCCGCATGGGTCCCCTGAGGCCGCAAGGGCTGCTGCGGCTCCTGCTGTGATCTGTGCCCGCAGAGGGTGCAGGACTTTGGGACATGTGTCTGCGAGGAGCCGCCTGACGCTTCTCTGCGGATCTACGCGGTTTATTAAACACAGAATACTTAATTAACGAAGACGATTCAGAGAAATCACAAGAAGCCGAGCTGTGAGTCAGATTAAATGTATAAACTCGTCAGCCTGGTCCACTTTCACCGGCCAGGAAGGTTAAATTGACTTGTAAACGATAGGGAGTTCATGAAGCTAAATAACTGGCGCAGTTCGAGTCAATAATCTGAGTAATAACTCAGTCAGATGAGAACACAAAGACAAGAGTCACACATTTTTACATTCAGCGTCACTGACACTTCACAAGAGAACAATTATCGCATGTCTACGCTTCTGTAACTCCGCTCAGAAGTCGTAGAAAAACACGTTCCTTACAGCTGCAGAACCTGGTTGAGAATCCTCGCCTTTTTCAGTTTTCTTAAGTATTTAAATGAGACAGTGATAATTGTCTGTACATCAATGGCTCCAATGTAAACAGGAGCTGATAATAGTTCATTCGGCAGCCTGTGGTTTCCAAACTGTACTTGCTGTAAATGAAAAAAAAAACATTTAAATTCCTATATGACTGTTCGAAAGGTTTCGTTTTTAACAGTCAACCCAGTATCTCATTTTTGTCAGTATGACTGTGCACTTAAGTATTGGTTTTCATTGCTGCGTTCACTATAATTATTATTTGTTTCTTCTCTCAGTTCGTAGAAAGTGATACAGATGAAGAGTTGCTCTTCAACATCCCGTAAGTCGTGAAATTATGTCATCATCATCATCGTTGTTGAATTTTAACCTTTTCTCCTGCATGAACACAGATTATTTTATTCTTTGGTACCTGTTGTACATTGTAAAGAGGAACACACTACATTTGCAGCACCAGTATTCTATTATTATAAAATATTGGAATAAAGCTCTGCTCCAATAATAAACAGCTGAGGCCCTGTGTTTTCTCATCTGACACCAAAGTGAGTGATTTCACATTTCCATATCCATCTGTCATGACAGCTACAGTGTGTGGCGTGTCTTTCAGTTTTACAGGCAGCGTGAAGCTGAAGGGCATCATCATCTCTGGAGAAGACGACGAGTCTCATCCTGCAGAGATACGACTGTGAGTGTGTTTCTGCGGCTCCGATCAGGGGTCCCTGAGGTCACACAGGACAAAATGATGAGACACAGGACAACCCATCTTGATTTATTCATTCAACGATGTACATTTTAGTACAAATCAAAACATTTTGTTTCATTCTAGGTATAAAAACATTCCTCAGATGTCCTTCGACGCCACCGGCAGAGAACCTGAACAAGCCTTCAGACTCAACAGAGACCCCACTGCTCAGCTGGAGTACCCAACAAAGTGAGACCATGGACATTTGTACATTTTGATTTTGGGATTAAGTCTCTCCAGGCTGTTTTAAAGCTGCTGTTATGGCTGAAAACTGCAACTAGCTCTGCTAATCATGTTTAGGTTGCTGGCTCACTTTAGTCATTCATTTTAATTCCTTCATGTAAGAGATGTTTCTGTTCCAATATATTAATTCTTACTGAACTGGAATCCTTCAGAGTCGTACGTGGAGGCTTTTAGATTTGTCAACAAAAGAGATGTAGAGCTGAAAATGAAAAATATCATCGCGATCATTTTACCTTGGACGCTCTGTGACATGAAGCTGTGAAAAGACAAGTGAAGCCAATCCGCCCTCTTTTTCTTTCTTTTGGTCGGAACACATCATCCATCCCGTTTGTTTATACGCTCTCACTTTTACCACGTCTCATCGTGAGATCTTCCTGTCTGGCTTCAAACTCAAGTGTCTCCTTTTGTTTTCTTATTTCCAGGATCGCTCGCTTTTCCAACGTTCATCACCTCTCAGTCCACATCTCCAAGAACTTTGGAGCAGAGAGCACCAGGATCTACTACATCGGACTGAGAGGCGAATACTCGGAGGTCAGTCTGAACCTCCGCCTGGTGAATGGTTTAACCTCCTGAAGGTCCCTGTGGCAAATATAGACCATGAATAGGACTCTGGTTGTTTGTTTGTAAGCAAGAATACATGAAAATTACTGGAGTGTAAGAATGTTTTGCAACATTTTTGTGGATTTCTGAGAGAATAATTAATGGATCTTTATGAAAAAATCAGGAATATCTAGAGAACTGAATGTATTGAGAGCGTGTGGAGTTTGTAGTAGCTTGACTGATGGGCCTTGGTGGATATGGACTATACTGAGTGCCATTTATTTCATTAACGTTCTTCATCTTCCCACATGAAAGAATTTAGTGACGAGTACCTCACATGAGTTTCCAGGAACTGATTTTGATAAACATTCTTTTTTTGGAGTCATGGGTGTTTTGGCTGCATGCTTTAGATCATGACCATGTTGAAAGAAGATATTGTGTAATTATTCCTCATCATTTAATCACACATGCCGCAAATTCTTTCCCAAAATATTTTGGTGCCACTGTGGCGTTGCTCAGTTTCTATTCTGCTGTAGTGGCATGCAGCTCTGTTAGCTCCTCAATGACACTTGTGTTGTTAACTGTAGCTTTATCAAAACACGATTTGCTGCTTTTCTTTGTCTAATATGAAAGTAAACCTAATTTTTAGGTTTTGACTGTTGGTCTGACAAGTAAAACAACATAAACCTTAGGCTCTGGGAGATTTTTCAGTATTTTAAAGACAATAACTGATTCATTGATAATTAATTTAACTTTTAGATGCAGCCCTAAAAGAAATTTGATGAAGGCGCAGTTTAAGTTGAACAGGACATTTTTTAGATGAAAAATAAACTTGTCAGTGATCTCTGACAATATCCAGACAATAATATCAGCCATAGCAAAGTATCAGTGTGTCTCTAGATATAATCATGTGTATTTAATGTGCTTTAACAAGAGACATTATATCTGTGAATGCTTGTCATTGCTTGAAGTCAGTCTGTCCATCTGTGTGCACTTTCAAGGCTCACAGGCATGAAGTGACGATCTGTAACTACGAGGCGGCGGCAAACCCTGCAGATCACAAAGTGGAGAGCATCATCCCGCAAACCAACTTCATTTCCTGAAAGCTCTGGAGATCGTGAGGAGGAGGATGAGGAGAAGTTTCAGTGGTGTCTGCTGACCGCCATTGACACGAGTCAAAATGGTCAAAGATGTGTTCAACGCTGCGGCCTGGCAGGTTGGTCGAGCTTGACCGGAGACTGAGCTCTCAAAATCTGGAGACAAGAAGGCTTCAGACGTGTGGAAGTGCCAAGTTGTCGCTCTGTATTCTATGGCAATAAAGATTTAAGGCTTAATGTGAGCAAAAAAATAACAATTATAAATGCATGAAATATTTGACACTGAGATAAAGTCTGTTGTCATCAGTTTAACCTGTAAACTTTTGATTTGTCAACATATTCACAGCTTCAATAAACTTACAGCTACTCTCAAATGAAACTTGATTTTCTTTAATCTTATTATGTTTACACTTTGGATCCATAATCAGCATCAAGTAATTTTAACATTTAAAAGACACATGGTCAGCAACCACTCTGGATACAAGTACATCTTTTTAAATGCCTAAAAATTAATAAATAATTAATATAATAACTACATTATTTGACTTCTGTCAATTCTACACACTCCACTTACCTTAGCTGGGTATTTGCTACCAGCTAGTGGATTAACTATGTCTGACTGGGATATTTTCTCAGTCAAAAAAATGCTCTGATCTTCTTTCTCTGTCTCATCTTCTCAAGAGAATTGTTCTAGTTGGTCCTGCTGATCAAAAATTAAAAAGGCAGCAACTATTTTATTAGGTTATGGTCCTAAATTCAAATGTACATCTCATATTAACTACAAAATGTTTCATTAACATGCAGAATCACTGATGTCTGTTTGACAGTGTCGCACGGAATAAATAATATTGACACCTTTAGGGTCCTTATTGGAGAAGTCCCTGAAAAAGCCTGAGATTTGCATTGAAGGTTTTCTTTTTGATTTTTACTTGATCTCTTATTTTTATTTAATTATTTTCATGAAGACTGTTGTTCCTATCATTGTTATTGTTATTAAAACTAGTATTGTTGTTATTATTGATTTGTTATTATTAGTATTATTATCATTGCTTATTTTATTTTATTGCTCTTGAGTGGGCGTGGCTCTCAGGCTTTGCCTACGCGTTGACGTCCTCACGCTGTGTCCCCGCCCCCTGCTGGTGCGCGGCCAGCAGCGGAACTTCCGGTGCGAGTTGAACCGGGACAGCGGAGCGGTGAGTGTCTGAATCCGTCCTGCGAGCGCGGCCCTGCGGCTCGTTTTTAAACACTTCGCCGCGGCTCCACCTGAACCGCGGCGGGGCTGCTCGTCGCGTAAGGCGTCGCCTGAAACGCCTGCTGTGTTCGGGGTTGGGGTTTGAGCCGCAGCGGCAGCTTTGGGCGAGCGACGGGAGACACCGGCAGACAATACGATTAGTGTGTTAGCCAGGTTAGCTAGCGGCTCGTCCGGCACAGCCACTAGCCCGGGTTATCGTGCAGCTGTGTGCGCGTGTGTTTTATGCGTGTGTGGGTGCGTGTGCGCGGCTAAACCGGGATTAAGCCGGACTGCGGATGTTGGGAGTGAACCAGCGGGTGTTATCCGGGGGCAGCAGAGACTTTGCGCCGATGAGTGCTACCATCACTACCGAGGAGGAGGAGGAGGAGGAAGATGGCTCGCTGCATACAGAGCTAACCATTCATCATCTTCCCTCCTCCTCGACACTCGCTCCCCGCAGATACCAGCCCGGCTGTACACGGTCGCAGCGTCCGGGTTTGACCGCGGTTCGATTCCGAGAGGAGCCGAGCATCAGCAGGCGCAGAGCAGGGTGGTGGGGGCGGGGGATGCCTGTCACTCACTGCCGCATATTATCCTGTTGTTTGCCAGCCATCGAGCAAAGTGTGTGTGTGTGTGTGTGTGTGTGTGTGTGTGTGTGTGTGTGTGTGTGTGTGTGTGTGTGTGTATCTGCAGCAGCACGCCTCTGGTTTGGTCTAAAATGTAATTGGAGTCATGCAGGACTCGTGATGTGCTTTAAGTTGATCTGCAACGCGGGCATCATTCCCCCCTTTCATCCTTCACCTGAATCAAAGCAACACACAGCAATTTCTTCTCACTTCCAACTCCATAATCTGATCGTGCTGGGAGTTGGTGTCACATCAGCAAAACGAGTCTCTCTAAATGATTCTGTTCCCCAGATGCAAGAAGATACCCTCGATTGAATGGCAGCATCATTTGCAGCTGCAGCTAATATCGATTGATCCAGTCGTTGACCTATTAAATGTCACACAAGAGCTAAAAATGTCAGATGTAGCTTCCCACACCTCAAGGTGACTTATTGAAATTGTTCGGTCTTAATCCCAAACCTAAAGGTTTTGAGTTTGCTGTCAGATATGACAAGAAAACAATTCACCTCATCTAAACCAGATTTAATAGATACTTCTTCAGAAATATAAAAACTGTGTACTCTGTAGGCGAGAAGAGAGATTCAATTTAAATGGCGGGGCAGCGACACGGGGGGCTTGTGCGTAACAAAGCTCCCTAGTGGGACTCAAACCAGCGACAATGTGGTTCATTTTCTAGAGATTTAAACCATAGGTCAACAAAGCAACGCTCATAAAATGTATTTAGTGTTCAGAAAGCGTCTTTCCATTCATTTGTTAATCGCTCGTTGCTCTCAGAATGTAATTTGTTTTTCTAGGTCTATTTTAATGAAGGGGAGGATTTGATTTTTCACTGTTATCCCTTTTCAAACCAAAAGAATGATTTGGACAATACAGAGAGGAGGATTGGTTTTGTAAAGATGACCCACATTTAACAAAAGAGTTGAGGCACAGGGCTGGAGAAAGGTTGTTCAAAGCAAAGTTGTATGTTTTTAATAGAGATTTAAAGTCATCACTAGGGAAAATTATCAAAAGAAGGTTAAAATCTGAAACTATAAATCCAGCGTCATGTCACAGGATCAATATTAAACTAAGCTGCCACATAAGATTTTTAGTAAACGTGTAGTCGATGTATTTTTCCATCTACGGTTCATCTTAACTGAAAAAGCCATTAACACCAAAAGGAAATGTGCTTCAAGTAATAAATCAAATTCAGTAGGAATTTTGGAACAGGCCCTCGTTTTTTTTATTCCCAATCTGAATTGGACTCGATACTTGTTCGCAGCCTCGCACTATTTTTAACCACCGGCCTTCAGAAGGGTAGAGAGTGAGTAATTGTTTCTTGTGTGCACTAAAAACCGGCACTGCTTTTCATGCTGTTATTCGGAGTCTCGGGTCTTTTGTGAATCTGCTGCACGGTAACAGGTGGAGAAAAGAACACGGCATAACAGTGATAAATTTCAGAGCTTGTCCTACTTGTTGGAACAGATTGTTCACTGTTGCTGCACTTTATCTTCTCTGGTTATCTATTTCTGTGATTCACTTCTTCTCTCATGCTGTCTGCTTTCAGTCACAGCATCTGTTCGGCTCTGTTCCCGTCAAGATGCCAGAGTTCAGCAGCTAAATTACATGCACTTAAAATTCAGGGACACAGGCGTACGTCTTGTGATGCACATGTTAATCAGATCACATTCTGCTCCTTAAATTGCATAACGCATTTGTACTGAGGCATTACTCAGAAAATATGAGGGAGAAAACGTTCAGTGGGAGAAGAAGTGTTCACGCACTCTACTCCAATTAAGATAAATTCCACAATATCTTAATCAAATTTTTGCTTTTTCTGTGAAATAACTTACAATTCAGCTTAATTTTGATTATCAACTAACCTTCCAGTTCTTTTTTGATTTTGATTAATCTAGTTTGTTCAAAGTCAACAACATTATATTCAGTTCACAGAGCCTGAATCTAAAGAATGTTTTTACTTCAAACAAACATCAATTGTTAACAATTTAGTTGCCAGTTATTTTTCTGTTAATCAGTTGATCTAGAAGGTATTTGCTCCTGTTATTTAAATGATTTTTAAAAGGGAAATTTCTCTTTGGTGGAACTGATTACAGCTCATTTACATCTGAAACATGATAAGAGGATCGGATAGAAACCTGATTTGTTTCTTTGTGTGAGGCTGACTGGTTCAATGAGTGACAAAGCATAGTGTTTGACAGGTTTATAGTTTATCAGTGTAAAATCTTAATCTGATTAATTTAATCTTAATAAAAAGTAAAAAGAGCAAAATGTGTCCTTGATGGGAAATGGAGTTAAAAATAAAATAAAAAAACAAACAGGAAGTGTAGTTACAACAGTAGCTGAGTCTGTTAGTGAGAAGACTTAACACACAAGGAAGTTTCATTCTGATAAATACGTCCAGTTCAAAACATTACAAACTTCCTGTGTCTAAAGATTGATTCCAAAACATTTCAAAACTGTCGGGACTGTTTCCCAGCACTCGACTCTGCCATGTTACATGTCAGCTATTACTCATTCATGGAGCCTCGGGATGCAGGGAACAAACTCCCTCTTTTGTCCACCCTTTGGACTCTTAAATCACACGTTTATTCCGCTTCCATGTGCTGTGGGAGTGAATGTGACCTCAAGGTGGGAATTTGTCATGTGCCAAAAAGCAACAATAGTGGCAGTGGTGGAATTTTAAGCCAGTGGAGTTTAATAATCCTGCTCAGGGTTTACACATTAACCTCCGTGTTTCAGACATTTCCCCCATTTCCTCATCGACCACATTTACCGATTAGGCAGCAGCTCGCTTTATGACGCGCCCATCCTGTCTTGTCTCATCCTGTCCCACATCATCACAGAGTTAAAGGCCTTTAATGAGTGGAGGCTTTTACTGGTCGACTTTACTGTAAAGAAACTGATGTCATGCTTGTTATCGATGTCTGACTCACTGAACAGCAGGGTGGAACGTCTAAAGCTGATCTACAGTGTACAGTAGAGAGAGGGCGGGCGTGTTTTTTATTTAGTTAATGGGTGCCGTCACTTGCTGACTTACAGAAACCTGCCCAACACACAAACATGCAGCTCATGGCGCCGGCTTTGTGTGAAGTACTTTTTAAAACAATCCCTAATAATTAGGTCGAGCTGATTGTAAATTTGAGGCAAAACCCAGGAAATGAAAATCCCTGTAAGCATTTACTGCAGCTCATAAAGCTCATGGCTCTGAGAGATAATTAACCTCGGCTCAGATGACGATATTGAACATTGATCACTGTAAACATTTCTTTTAATTCTCCTCCTCTCATCTGGAGCTGGATAAGCAGATGAAGCTGTTAACAGAAATCTTTGCGAGAGTGTCAAACTGAAAACTAATATGATGTTAAAAAGAAGATGAAAGTGACATGTTCCCGCACCATCCCCGGTGGAAATTATGGCCTCTTCTGCTTTATTGAGCCAACACAGTTCACTTTAACTGTGGAGCGAAAGGCCAGAGAAAACAAGTCTAATTTAATATGATGTAATCTAATGATTCCAGAGCTCCGGGCTGATTCTTTAGGACCAAATTATGCTGATTACGTGTGTATGCTGATGTGTTTCATGTATTTATCATCAACAAAATGCTCCAGAACATGAAGGTTTCCACCGATCTCATAAATAATACACTGTTCTGATATTTTTTGTACCTGCCTGAAAATCTGTGTTTGTCAAATGCTATAAAATGTCTTTAAAAATGTATAAAATTTGAAGCCCTCAGCTGATTTCTGTGTTTTTCTATCCTCTCCTCCTACTCCAGCATCTCTTCCAGTGTATGTGTGGCAACAACATGTCTTTTCCGCTGCTCACCGAGGCCGTGACAGTGTCCGGAATGGAGAAGGAGACCGCGGCGGTAAGTGAAGCCTCAAAACCTCCCGTGTTAATCTTTAATGTTGTTGATGCTCATCTCCAGAGCATCTAATGGTCACAAAGCAGCTGAGGACAGGTGGGTAAGAGTGTTGCAGTCGTAGCACGGAGGACATTTTCAATGACACGTGCTATCAGCCATTAAACACAGGGTTATGACAATCGAACATGATTTTTCAAATTGCCTGGTTTGTCGATTTTGACTTTCTCTCCTAGATCAGAAAATAACTGTGATATATTCAGTGAAAACAATTTAAGCAATCTCATTTATTTTGACTACAAATAGTCCTAAAAGAGAATTTCAGAGCATGATGGGATATTTTCTTTCAGGTAGATCTTTACTTTCTTAAATCCTCAAACTGTAGTTTATTTACAAATCTCTTCAAATATAAATGTTTCCAGCTTCAGTTTATTTTATTTTAGGTGAATATTGAACATCTGAGAACATATTTTGTTAAAACAAAAACATCCATTAAAGTGAGACATTTAAAGGATTTATTGTGTTAGCTCACGTTTCAAAATAATCAAATGAGCATTCACCAGCACCTCCATTGTTTGAATGTGAATTTGGGTGATATTCAGTTTTAGTTAATACAGAAGATGACTGTGATCATGAACCAAAATAAATGTCTGTCACTACGAGAAGCCTCACCTGTAGCAGTGGGTGTAACAAGTGCTGAACAATCAATCGTGCAGAAGCTCAGCCGGATGCCAGTGTAAAATCTAGACACGTCTTTTATCGTGCTGTGTTCAGGTACAGTGTGTGGACCCGTTCTCCAGCATCAGAGCCGACTGTCGCTCTGTAAGCTCATCTCAAACCCAACATGACAGACACGTGCTTTGATCTCTGCAGCAGAGACGACTGAATATCCCATTTCCAGCCAACAAGCGATGAAATGCCGGCTTTCAAAATTGTTGTTGTTCCCTTTCATTGTCTCTTTGGGGAGTAGTGTGTTTGTGGTGGAAGAGGCAGTGGGAGTTTATCTTGGCAGAAATGGGAGATTGGCTCCTGTTTTCCCTCTGTTTTGGAACAAGCAGGCACAGTCACCAGTAGCACATTGTGCAGACAAAAGACGAGGCAGTGTGATGAATCGGTTTAAACTGTTTTTGTTGTGTGAAATGGGATTTAACATACTGTACAGCTTTCGGGGGAAATCACAGGTTTATAGTTTGAAATGGTTTCCAGCGTGATCGATCCCTAACAGAGAAATCTAAATTACTTTTTTCTATATGAACTCATCCGACCCAAATGCAAATATCATCTGTTTTTTTTCATCTGAATCTGTTAAGAAATAATATAAATTATTATTTAAATTCAACCATGTTCAACTCTATTACAGGTGATCTTCCTTCATGGGCTGGGAGACACAGGGTGAGTCATTATATGCTGTTCTTAATTTGTTCTTGATTAATGGTGATTGTATAAATGTAATCCTCTTTTTCTGTTTTCTTTATCGATTTTCTACATCAATTAATTGTCATTATTTTAAGATATTGTACATGTGAGTAAATCATTGTACCTAACTTTTTTTATTTACAAGCAACATATTGAACCACACAGTGTATCGTCCTCTGTTTTTGTGGATTAGATGCTCTGTGAGTTTGCTGAAACTGGATTAGTAACAATGCTGTGCTGTCTTTGTTTTCTGTCAGGCATGGGTGGGCTGACAGTTTGACGGGGATCCGGCTGCCTCACGTCAAGTTTATCTGCCCAAACGCGTGAGTCTTTATTCGGGGCCTCTGTTCTGTTTCATGCCTTTATGCTGTCACTTGTCAGCGGAGGGAGGGAAACTGACATCTTTTTCTGTGTGTGAATAACAACAGCAACCTGGAAACAAAAATATAGTTCATAGATTGTTTTTAAACCCAAGGTGACTTTCAGAATGGAAAAGCACCTTTAAACAAATAGTTCATCTTCTGTTCTGTTTGCTCAGGTAAATATATCAAGCTTCACATGGCTCATGAGCTCTGGCACTAATCATTTCCCTTCATTTCCCCCTACAGGCCCAAAATCCCAGTCACTCTCAACATGAAAATGACGATGCCCGCATGGTGAGTTGGCGTGATGAAAGAAGCTACTTTTTAGCTCAACACTAGAAGCCATTGTTTCCCTGGAAACCACAATAGGCTCCCGTATTGCCATCGACAATACTGGGATTGTATCTATTGATTTCCCTAAATGGTTCGCCTCTGTGTGTGTGTGTGTGCGTGCAGGTTTGACCTCATGGGTCTCAGCCCCGACTCCCCGGAGGACGAATCTGGAATCAAGAAGGCAGCAGAAAACAGTGAGTTAAATGTTTCTAAATATCACAGAAGTGACATTCATATGAGATCCGTATGAAGCCACTGTTGGACAAACTTTAAAATCTCCTCCCCAAACACTGTAAGATGTCAGGAATATTCCTGACATGCTAAAACCGATATTCACTTCATGCAGAGATTGGTCCGTGTGCAAAAATGTTTCCTTGTACTCATATTTAGATGTTTTCCCTGAGGAGTCTCTGAGCTGTGGTGGCACGGTGGAGTAGTTTGTTTCTATGCCTTGGTTCCTGTTTTATTTGTTTGGTGCCATTTATCAATGAATAACAGTAACAAGACCTGAGGCTCCATCTAGGGGTCAGTGAGTAAAATTGGCTTGATGTGACATGGAGATTGGTGCAGAGAAGATTTAACAGTTTAATGTTTGATGTTCTTACTTAATGTAGTCTATCAGAAATGCGCCCGTTCTCTACTTTCCCTTTGACACCTGTAAATTGTCTTTTCTCTCCATTTATTAAACACACAATCTTTCTTGTTTTCCTCCAGTCAAGGCCATAATCGATCATGAGGCCAAAAATGGGATCCCCCCAAACCGTATAATGCTCGGCGGCTTCTCTCAGGTAGGGTTTCACCTCTTAGCCTTGTTTTATATCCGGTAAGACTCACATTCACAGACATGATGTTTTGAAATGCTGGTTTATCATTTTCTGTGTTCTTCCTCCATTCCTCCTCAGGGTGGCGCCCTGTCCTTGTATACTGCCTTGACCTGCCAGCATCAGCTGGCTGGTGTTGTAGCCCTCAGTTGCTGGCTTCCACTTCACAGCAGTTTCCCATCGGTACAGTCACAGTTTTATCACAGATACACTTAATGGTTCTTCTTCCTCCTTAGTTTAAACTTAATAATTAATTTGCTGCCTATATTCTCTGAATAAACATATCCACACACTGCAGATACCTCCTGAGGTTTTCCATAATGTGTCAACCAAACACTAAAATAATAAGCTAAACATGCATTTTTTGCGTGGTCATGATTCATCTGTGTTGTTTCTGTCCCGCAGGAGTCAAGCAGCAAAAAGAACCTCCCGATCCTGCAGTGCCACGGGGAGGCGGACGTCATGATCCCTAAGCAGTTTGGTAACATGACGGCAGATAAACTCCAATCCATAGTTAACCCTCAGATGATCACCTTTAAAACCTACCCAGGGCTCGCTCACTGCTCCTGTCCTCAGGTACTTTACCGACACTTGTTCTGCATGTGTGTGTATGTGGCTTTATTCTGTTTGTGAGAGGATAAATCAGTTTGTTAGGAGTTTTGTTTTCTTTAGAGTTTTCCAATACCATTATCAGAAATGCCTTTGATTCTGCGGAAATTTGTTTATAGTTAAACTGTAGAATATCAAGGCTCAATCTCATTTCTTTGTCATAATGACATCTCAGTAATCATTGCCAGTTGTTTTTCATACATCAGTATTGGCCTCGGTCGGGCACATTTTAATTTCTTCACTGAACCAACACCTATTGTTTTTCTTTCTTGCAGGAGATGGCGGCTGTAAAGGAATTTATCGAGAAGCATTTGCCCCGAATCTGACCTCACCCCACCCCCACTGTGACCCCTGAGACACTCACCGCTCACCCCTGATCTGCCATTCTCCCACAGGAAACAGCCATGAGCACCCACCCCTTCCACACACACACACACATATGCACATATAATGATAATGATTTGATCCACAGCGCTAAACGAACTACGAACTTGTCGTGCAGTCCAATCCAACAACAATCATACTGGAAACAAATTTTTCAAACACTGATTAGGATTAGATACCAGCGTAACCAAGTGCTTGCACTTTCGGGTCTTAGCCTTTTGGAGGGAAAAACACTGATTCACACTCAATACATTCCCTTTGGTTTAATTTAAACAACCTCTGTCTGTCGCTTCCATCTTAACTTTAGTCATTCTCCAATTTTACTTAATTCCACTTGATCGTAACCTCTTTTCTTCAGCTGTCACCGCCTCCCTTGCTACCACTTCCTCACCTTTCCCTCTTGCATTGCTGCGTCAGGCTGTGACATGAGGAAGAGAACAAAAAAATAAGATTTGAGTCGGATTAGTGAGTTAACAGCAAGCTGTGAGCCCATTAACCGTGCTAGCTTCTTCAGCCCCACCTGTGCTATTTCCTATTATATCATGTGGTTGAATCTAGTCTTGAGAGCAGCTTCACTGCTATAGTCTGACTCAGGTGCAGTGAGTTTTAAACCTGGAGCTTCTGTTTTACCACAGACCCATCCATTCCACCACCTTCCACCCCATGACGGTGCTCTGCGGCCTGCCAGGTCTTTAATCTCAATCACTTAACTACAACCGGCCCTTTTTATTGAAGCACCAACATTCACCGGGGCCTCAAGTTACTTTTCTTTAATGAGTGTGAGTTAATATCTTGAATTATATGAAGAAATTACAATTGAAATAAAAAGAAAACTAATCAATTGATGCTTTTGCCATCTTGTGCTGTTTTTTCCATTACTTACACATCTGGTGATTATCTCTTCCTGCTCCGACCCTGTGATTCTTGTTGAGGGTTGTGAATGACTGACCTGAATGAGTTGTATGAAATAATGCATCTTTGCTTGTGTCTGCAGGCAGCTCACCATGAGTGGTTTCACTGTTCCTCCCACCTACACCTCATCTTTTAAACATTTCTATCATTTCAAGCTTCATCATTTCAGCAGCATCCTCCTCCCCATTAGTTCCAGTTGGTTCTTGTGAACTCTGGAAATAGAAAACCTGCTTCTTCCACGCCACCACAGCAAAGTTTGAAACTAACACAAGAATATTCCCTTACCAGCTCCCTCTTTGGCAACTTACTGTAAACCACTAACAGAACATTGAAGGTCAGATTTAAAGTTAACCCCCACAAGTACTTACTGTACACTGGAGGGCTTTAGCAAGAAGCTTCTCCAACGTAACTTAAGGGGGATTTTACAAAAAAAAGTTAATCTCGAACAACTCGGACATAGGAGTGTAACTCTGAGGAGTCATGTGTGCTTCAAAGTTAATATATCAGGTGTTCTGCATTTTCCTTTGTGAATGTTAATTTTGCTCTCCTTGTGATTACCTGTTCTATATTGCTGTTATTAAACCTGATTTTTAAAACAAAAAGAAAAACAGTGGGAAAGGACGAAATACATCTGTTTTGATTGTTGTAAACAAATCAATGAATGTCCTTCATTACCTCCTGTACTCTTTTTTTCCCCCATCACTAAATCTCTGATGCAGCCCTGCGTTCTGTTTTCTTCTCATCATTTAATTTTCTCTCTTCTTAGACTCCATCATTTTTTTATATTCCAAAATCTGGTGTGTGACGGTGTCAGACTGTCTCGTGTTTTCTCCTGGGTTGTATGTTGTCATTGATTTAACTTTACATGTTTTTTTCTCTTTGTGTATTGGACTTAATGTTGTGTTTTGTCACTGTTGTCATCTCATCCTTTTTTTGTGTCCATTTATAATGATGACCATTAAGAATACATGTTGAGGCGAGACTGATGGTCTCTCCACATATTTTGTTTCCTAAACACCTGTATGCAAAATAAATGACAGAAAAAAAAAAGTCGAGCGTCTTATTTTCTTATTAAAATTTGAATGCCTAAAGTTTAAGAAGTTGAAAGGAAAAATACATCAAGAAGAAATTCCAAAAGTTATAAATCTAAAAGATCATGTCCATTCATTCAGCGCTCAGACACGCATGAGGTTTGGCAGTGAGGTTCGGAAGGGGGGGACCAGGACAGGATCACCAGCAGGGCAACACCAGTAACTTCCCAGGGGCCACAAAAGCCCATAAATGTAGAACATTTGCTCCACTGGAAATGATATTAGCTTCCATCCAATGCAATTCAAAGTATAAAATATTGAGTACAAAAGGGTAACGGGAAAATTAACTAACTTAACTAACTTACCGTATGTGTAAAATATAATTGGGATCATGAAAAGTTATTAAAGTGACCCGGGACGCCCTCATGACTATTATCTGCCTATGCTACATCTAAACCAATGTAATCTTAACTGGTATAAACTAATGTAACAATATTTATTGATCTAACCAAATCTAAACCAATATAATCTTAATTGGTATAAACTAATGTAAATGTATATAATCTTGACTGGTATAAACTAATGTAAACGTATAATATGAATTGATATAACCCAATGTAAACATATATAATCTTACATGGTATAAACTAATAATCTTAATCGATATTCTCTAAACTTAAAGTTTAATGAATTAAAACTTCATGGCGTCGCTCACAGATGAAATCAAATACAAACAGATCCCTCCTTCTTCCGGGCGGCGGACCAATGAACGCAGGGGGGCGGGCCAGACTGAGCTGGAGAAAGAAACTCCTCCGCTCCTCCGTCAGTCGCCATTTTGAGACGGTCGACCCGCAGACACTGGTTGAAAACGTTGGTAAAGCAGCAGGTCTGTAACGTTTTTAATCATATTTTGACCGAGATTAGAACCAATGTCTCGATTTCACAACAATCGCGGCGGACTGGGGATGAATCATTTCCAGGCCCGCAGAGGCGGTGGACCCGGCGGCCCGATGCGCGGAGGGCTGATGGGGAACCCGAACTTCAGGAACCATCCCTTTCAAAACCAGAACCAGAATCGACGGGGACACAATAACTTCAACAAACCGAATAATCAAGGACCACAGACCACCCCTCAGAAGAACCTGCCCATCATCCCTCCACCGAGTCCCGGCCCGGCTCTCACCATGAAGGGCCCCATGCAGCAGCAGCAACAGAAGCCGGCACAGCAGCCACCGAAGCCGGCGACCCCCGCTCCTCAGGTCAAAGTCGAGGCCTCACCGCAGAAACCCATCCTGACCTCCCCTCCACCCAACCAGGCAAACAAGACCCAGACCCAGACCCCGCCGCTGAAGTCACCGATAGGAAATGCGAACGGGCAACAGCAGAAGCAGCAGCAGCCGCCGCCGCCACGTCCGAGCCCGAGGAGCGGCCCTCACCAGGCCCAGAGGACGGGCCCTCACCAGGGCCAGAGGGGGGGACCTCCGCCGAACAAGTACAAACACGACCGAGAGGAGCCGGAGAAACGTGCTTCAAACACGGATACGGCGGAGGGCAGCACGCCACAGGTCGGTGTAAAATCTTACAAAACCCCCCTTTTCATTAATGGCGTCGGTGACCATTGTTAGCTAACGCTAGCTCGGTGGGCACGGCTACGGATGCGTTCGATTTGAAACACGGTCGGAGCCGAGCGGGCGGTCTCTTCTCCATGACGTGACTATTGAGCTTACCCGCCCGCTACACCGACCGGCGGTACTAGCTGCGAGACAAATCCAACGCACCACCGTATAGTCGTTTTATTCGTCCGCCATCTTACCGAACACGTTTGTAGTCATATTTTCAAAATCTGTCCTCCTGAAGTAAAGTTTGTTCGTGTGTCGAGTGCTCGGCTGTGCAATTTAATTTAACCATTTAACATATTTCATTATATTCTGCTGTAAATCTAGTTTTTAGATGCAAGTCGAGCCCGTTGTTGTCTTCGGTGTGTGTGGGGGATGGGCAACAGCTACGAAACAGGGACACCAAAGAATAAAACTTCCAACACGTCAAACTAAGAACGTGTTTTTATTCTAAATTGTGACATCTATGAATATTATACCTCACTGCACAGCCCAAAATATGACATCATACGTGTTGGGCGGCAGTGAATTCCTGTTCGTCGTGTCACAGAAACCTGATCCATGTTGTTCGTTGTTCACCAGGAGGGATTCAAGGCGACACTGTCCATGCTGCTGAAACCTGGTGAGAAGACCTACACTCAGCGGTGTCGTCTGTTCATTGGTAACCTGCCCAGCGACATCACAGAGGAGCAATTCAAGAAGCTGTTCGCAAAGTATGGAGAGCCCAGCGAGGTCTTCATTAACAAAGGCAAAGGCTTTGGTTTCATCCGGCTGGTAAGACTCGTCTCAGTGGATCTAAGTTAAGAGCTGTGGTTGTGTCGGAGAATATCCCTAGCTAAGCTCTGTTATAAATTTCTTACAGGAGTCCCGTGCACTTGCAGAGATTGCAAAGGCAGAGTTAGATGACACGCCAATGAGAGGCAGACCTTTGCGTGTCCGATTTGCCACACACTCTGCAGCCCTGTCTGTGAAGAACTTGTCGTCATTTGTCTCCAACGAGCTCCTGGAAGAGGCGTTCTCACAGTTTGGAATGGTTGAGAGGGCCATTGTCATCGTAGATGATCGTGGACGCTCCTCGGGCAAGGGTATTGTAGAGTTTGCCTCCAAACCTGCTGCCAGGAAGGCTCTGGACAGGTGCAACGAAGGTGTCTTCCTTCTCACAACGTAAGTGATGGTAGATCCCTCAAAACACTGTTTTATTGTACATGAATGAAGCTTTTTTTGGCTTAGTTGTCTTTTTTTGCTTGTTTCAGGTCACCTCGGCCTGTTATCGTCGAGCCTCTGGAGCAGTTTGATGATGAAGACGGTCTCCCAGAAAAACTGGCACAGAAGAATCCCAGATATCAAGCGTAAGCATGTCACTATAATAGAAGTGTTTTATTTGAATGGGGTTTCCCTTGGGTTATAGTGACTCTTTCTTCTTCAGGTCATTGTTGTGGTAGCAGCAGATGGTGTGTTGTGGATGATGGGGGAGGGAAGATTCACTGATTGCAGCAGTTGCAAATCAATATTCTGTGTGAGGTGGCAGATGTTGGTGAAGTGTGGGGGATGAGGCCTCTCAAGGCCGGAAATAGAAACGTGTGATTTTCATTTTGGAACAACACTGTAGTGAATGAAATGTTTTTTTTTTTTTTACAGAGAGCGTGAGGAGCCTCCTCGCTTTGCTCGTCCCGGCACTTTTGAGTTTGAGTACTCAAAGCGCTGGAAGTCCCTCGATGAAATGGAGAAGCAGCAGAGACAGCAGGTGGAGAAGAACATGCGTGAGGCTCGTGAGAAGCTTGAGAGCGAGATGGAGGATGCCTACCATGAGCACCAGGCCAATCTACTCCGACAGGGTGAATATAGTTGTAATGTCGTCTGTGCTTTTGTTCATATTATCTGCAGTGTTCTTGAAATACAATTAAAACGCTTGGTTTCATGTCCTTTCAGATCTGCTGAGGCGACAGGAGGAGCTTCGACGTATGGAGGAGTTGCACAGTCAGGAGATGCAGAAGAGGAAGGAGATGCAGATCAGGTATTTCTTTTTTTTAGAATTTTGAGTTTTGTTGTTGATTGAGAAAGATTTTGTTGCCCATACATCCTCTCATAAACACCATACTTCAGAGGCCAGAATGAGATCAGATCTGTTTTAAACAGACAAGAGGAAGAACGACGTCGAAGGGAGGAGGAGATGATTCGTAAGAGAGAGATGGAAGAACAGATGCGCCGTCAGCGTGAGGAGAACTACAGGATGGGCAACTTCATTGATGTGAGTTAATTTTAAATATGGTATATAAAACATACTTATGTTTATTGAAGTGAGATACTTAGGTTTTCCCAGGTTTAATGTGTATTTCCTTCCTTTTCACAGAGGGAGAGGGAAATGAGGATGAATCCCGGTGGAGCTATGGGCATGGGAGGTAAGCAATCTACTCCTCTCTTATTTCCTTGAGATTATTAAGAAATAAAGAAACTGTCAGGTACTGAGAACAGGCTACATCCCATACAACTCCACAAACTATGAATACAGAATTTAATCAAGGTTTAGCTACAATATCTTAAATCAAAGAAAACATTGTGAATTAATTTGATCATTACACCTATTATTTTACTTCTCTTACATTGGCTATATGATTTCCTTAGAATTCACTTTGATACCTCTCAGTTAACAAAAGCTGTAACATCGACAGGTCACATTAGGATTTTATTTCTGGTGCAGTATTTTTTCCTAACTTGTTGTGTTTCTGCTAGATATGCCTTTTGGTGCAGCCGGTCAGAAGTTCCCCATGGGTGGAATGGGCTTTGAGGGACAGCAGGGAATGGGGCCATCCTCAGGAGGCTTGATGGGCAACGAAATGGTAACGTATCCCACTTTTGGGAGGATCAATAGTTAATGTAGTGTGTGTTCGGCTCTCCTTTCTGTTGAAGACGCCCGGTTGATTTTTTTCATAAAAATCTGCTGGTTGAGCAGGTTCTGGAATATGAATGACTTGTGTCATAGTCACACTCAAGTGGCTTGCTGGTTTTTGAATGTGACGGATATGCCGCCTGTCTGATAGGGTTTCCTCCGATGGCAAGCCAAGTCCCCTTACCTGAGTCTTACCGTGTTCCAGTTGTGAAACCATCATCCTGCACTAAATCTAAGAAATTGCTCTTCACTGTGTTCCCTTATAGCTGTAGATAGACGTCCGTTGCTCCTCTCGCTTATCACACTGTCTGTGTAGTGGACTGACATTGCAAGCCCTGTCAATGTGAGCTGGACAGGCACTTTTTCGTTACCCGAAGCAGAATGGCATCTACCAGTGTTTTTTCCCTCAACTGTTGACAATGTGCTTATTCAGTTCCAAACCACTTTTTCGAGCGGTACCAGTTTCATGCATAATTTGTCACGTTGAAGAAATTAAGCTGCATATCAACAGGTTCCGTGTATTTTTGTGTGGCTATGTAAACCCTGTGTGACCCTCTTAAATTTGACACCTGCAGTGTGGTTGTAGTTCATCCTCTGGACCAGCAAACTTCCGCCTTCTTATCAATCTCTTAATTTTCAAAATGAGCATCTATTAAGATTTAGTGCAGGCTGATGGTATGAGACATTTCTTACAAAATTATAAAAACAGCACAACTGGAGTAATTGAAGGGGGCAGGCAACGCCTTGTGACTTTGCGTAATAGGTTGTTAATAGTGGACCAGACTCTGAAGCTCTGGCAGAATTGTAGTACCAATCTTAGCTCTGTTTCTGCATTACAGTTGACAGTAAGAGCGGCTTAATGTTTGTTGTGAATGAAAAGTATTCCGAGAATACTTGGCTTTCGAACAAGCTTCGTTCTTTTGTATAAAAGCTTGTATATGCTGCAACTTATTAGAGGTAGTATTTTTATTTATATAAAAGTAATGTGCTACACATCTAGCTTCTGTCGCCAGGGTTTGTTCACCCATAAAAAATTTAATTTGACCAATTTTTTTTTTTACTGTCATTTAGATTCAAACTTGTTGATGTTTGCAATGCAACAGGTTCACAAACATTCAGGTTGCATCATTTTTGCATTCTGATGCAATGATTTCTTACAATAGAAGCTCAGTTAGACCATCTAATAATGACAGGGGCTGAGCAGATGTTGAGTAGATCCAATTCAAAACGTTCAAAACATTCAGACTACATTACTGTTTTCGTTTTTAATTTATCCACTGTATCTTCATGTTGTAAATCTGAGCTGTCCTCTGCCGGACGTTTGGCTTTTAAGTCTTTCTCACTCTATTTTCACAGAACATGTCAGAATTGGCACATGTTTTGCATATTGATGAACAATTTCTTGTTGGGGGGGGGAATGGCTGGGTTGAATATCTTGTGCAATGTTTATTTACTGTGCCCAAGTGCATGTACGTACACTCCCTGCTCATTTGACACCATTGGTAGGCAATTTGCCTTTTATCATTGCGGTGCCAGAAAATATTTGGAGCCACAATTTTTGTATTGAAAGATGGCACCTAATTTCATAGCCTTTTCCCAAATTTCTTAGTAAACCCAAATTCCATCTGTAAAAGAGGAATAAAAAATCTCTTCAGTAATTGATTTCTAACCATAATATTATAACAATTCATTTTCCCATAAAACCTCTGTCAAGAATTTTGGGCATGTATCTCTTGCCATATTTAATGATCATGGATAGATGAATATGGTCAGTATTTAAAGAGTGCTTCACCTGATAACCAGTTTTGGCATGCACTGGAGAGACCATGCGAGGTAGGCACTGACTAACGAAAGCATCACCCTCTCTTCCTTTTCCGTATGTTACCTGTGGCACCTGTGGACCTTCATATTGGAACGAACCGTTTCTTCGGATATTCTCCTGCTGGTTGTGTTGTAAATCTGCTCACAATATAAATCAAACCACCCCTATTACCATACCTCTTTGTGCACCTCTAAATGGACATGAACTTTGCTCTTGCGCTATGGCCTTATCCCAAAACCGTATTCCTCCGCCTCCCTTTCTGCCTCCCTGGCACATTGAACCCCGCAGCGCAATGAGCGCTTCGCCCAAGGCGGTCCTAGGGGGATGGGTCCTGGCAACCCTGGGTTCGGCAGGGTTCGTGAGGAGTTTGATGGTCCTGCTAAGAAACCCCGTTTTTAAACGCTGCTCTTTGATGCACCCTACAGCAATTTGTACAGATACTTCAAAACAAATATGTTGAGTCGCATTTCTTGTATTTAAGTTTAAGATTGTTGCTACATTTTAGCTTGACAATTTGCTCCTTTTATGACAAAGTCAATATTTTCCTTTTTTTATTTTGTATTGTCAGTAGTTTGGAAAGATAGCTCGCCCTCATGTGATCCATTAGTTCTTCCTGACCCATGTACATTTTTCTTTTCTAGATGTACTTTCCTCTGTGAGTCGCCGTGAAGTGATAATTGTAACATTTTTCTCAACTTTCTATGGCTGTGTTTTGTGCCATTAATTTGGAATCAAAGCATGTATTATAATAAAGACAAATTGGTTCTATGAGGACAAACCTTTAGCGTTTATTCCTAAAAGTTGAAACGTACTAAAATAAACCAATTATTTAACACAAATGAAATAATGTGGATAAATCTGCCACATTAGGTCTTAAAGGGTCTATGTGTTATCTCTGCCACAATCCTGACCTTTAAGTTCAGTAACGCGAACAGGAAAAAAACGAAACTCATGCCCCCTGCACACGTTTCGCACCCTTTCTCTCCGTCTTGGTAAGACCTTCAGCATTTGATAAGATTCCTGTCGACCAGGCAGCAACCAGATGCAATTTATTGTGCATTTTTAATCCACAACTTTTTATTTCACGAGCACTGCACTTGGGGGTAAACCGAGACATTAAAAGTAAAATGCTATTCATTTTTAGTTGGGTGCACTAATTTGTTCAAGACGTTTCATTCGCTAAGTCTGCGTTTACAGTTGTTTCAGGTAAGCAGAAATATTATACATAGAACCTTTAAGAATGCATGTTTTCATAGTAGACACTGAGTTTCCTTATGAACACACTGTGCTCATAACACACACATAGTCCAGAGTGTCTCATGTGCAGGTTCTGAGTAAGAGTTATTGAGAGTCAACGGACTGCACTAACCAAGAGGAAGAGCGCCCTCTAGAGTCACAGTTGTGCTCCGTGTCTGAGCAATTAATTGTGAAAAAACCTCAGGTGCTTAGCAGAGCTCTTACTGCGTTGTCTGTAAGTTCTCTCTGAACTGAAACCCAACTGAATGATGGACATAACCGACTTCCTCAACCAAAGGAGCTGCAGCCTTAACAAATGCACCAAACTCTTCTTAGTGTTTATTGATCTACAGTTCAGCATTACGCTTGAACTTGCTGGACCTGATTCCGATGATTGAAGCTGCACACATCTCAGTCCTCGCCCACAATCGTACCCACTCACCAAAGTTTCTAAGATCAAACGTACAGGCTGAGTGGGAGTGAAAGAGGAAACATTATCCCCTATTCCAAGTGACTGAACCATCATTTTAATAAAGCTGATATTTTAAGTTAAGTCGTATAATGTTGCTTTAATTGGGCGGTTGAGACCCCATTTGTGTCTGTATTTCTTTTAATCACTCATCATTGGACATAAAGAGCCATTTAAAATAACTTTTACTTTGACATACTTGTAAAAAACAGCTGCAGTGCAGTTTGCAGGGGCTGGTAATGTAATGGCAGTTGGTTAAGTAAATGATGATGATACCAGCCATTAACAGCTGTGTGAATGTTAGTGGAAAACAGTTGATGTCCATTGAGTCTGGTGGATTAGCCGTTATAATTTACATTTCTGGTTAGTTGACTTCTATTACAACACATCTACATAGTTGGTGTGTCAAAGGAACTTGTATAAGATCATATCCGAATCCGATGTCCATACCATAGCCACAGTACTTGCCTTTACATGAAGTGCAAGTAGCTGTAATGGTCAGTTTTTTAGGAGTTGGAAGAACCTGCAGAAACTAAAGAAGCAAATGTGTTACAGTTCTTTCTTGAAGAAAATCTCAACTTGAAAGACGGCTCACTCTTTCAGAGAGAAGTTGAAAAGGCAAATTATTTGGAGCTCCAGTTTTACAGAATTGTGTTAAACACAAGTCAAAAATAAAATCGGTGTTGGTTTTAGAAGATTAATTTAAATCTTAAACAGGCTGATAAAGTCTACAATTTGAGGAAGATGAAACAACCAGAGTCTAAATCTTGTACTCTGAAGATTATGAGCAAGCAATGTGGCTCAGACTGGAATTTACAGCCTGTCTCAGCTTAACCCTTTTCACTTTATGTTACTGACACTGTTGATGTTTGACATTCTCAATTGAATCCCCTTTAAGATCATGACACCATGAAAAGAAAAAGTTGAGCTTTTACACAGAAGTCATGTAAATTATACTCAAATACTTTTGACAGGTTTGTTGCAAAAACCAGCCATATGGCTGAAAAGGGTTTTTTGACCCCTGATTGTTAATTATAAAGAATTTGGTTATTTGTTTGTTTTTTTCCTCCAGTGCTTCTTTTGACTTGATGTTGGACCAACCATGACCATTCTGGTCCTTCCCCAAGTATTAATGTCGGCCAAGCATTTTTTAATAGTTACTCTAATGAGTTAAAGTAAACTTTTTAAACCAAGTTAATTCAATGCAACATAATAAAAAACTTGGGGACAGAAAAAGCATGTTCAGTCCACAGAGCGTAACCATTTTTTGTGGAAGGTTACTTGTGTTCATTCGAACTCATGTTGTCAGCATCTGACTCTAGTTAATGTCGATGCTTTAACCTTAAACCTTGGTTGCATGTTTATATTTAATTATTAGTGGCTCTGCTTCTTAGCTTTGTAGTCACTTGTCCTGTCATTACAATGTGAGCCCAGGATCCTGACCCCTGCTGTACTGACAGTTAATTGGAGCTGACTTGAATGCAGGTATAGGCAACAAGTATAGGCTGCAGCTGAATATTTTTTATGCTGCAGAGCTAGATGAACCGGGAGCCTGCCTGAAATCATTGACCATCAAAATGTTTCACCGTCCTCAGCGGCTGACAACATGTGGACCTATAACAGGATGACTTCAGTGCATCTTATGGGGGAACATCAAATAGCAAAAGACTTTTTTTTTTCTTCTTTTTTTTTTTGAAAGTCTTCCAAGTGCTTCTTTGTGTATCATCTGAGAACCTGCAAACACATTTTAATGGATGCAAAGCAGAGGACGACACTTGGATGAATTTGGTAAATTGTGGAGTGTGCACCTGAAATGTTGCGTGTGTTTGTGTTCTGTCCATTTTTTCTTTAACAGGTTTGCCCAGCTTTAAAAATTGTGGATTGTGGAGGAATTTGAGGCTGTGTAGTGTGAACCCAAAATGACCTGTAACATTGAACTCATTGAGCAAATATCCTGAGATGGCAAGATTCAGCTGACACTGTGCACCAGATTGTAAGGATTACGAAGCACAAAAGATTTGGAGCAAAGAAGCTAATTGTCATCAGCCAGAAAATAAGCCTCTGGGGGCAACTGCCAATCTTTGATTGTAGCGGGGGCTATCTGGGTCTTTCATTCACTGTAGACTATTTTTTTTATCTCACGCAATACTTTTCCTAGGTGTTTTAGTTAACTGCATATGAAAGCAGATTGATAAAATTCACCTTTTTGTTAACATGTTCCACCTCTCCACACAGATGTTTAACTGCAGGTAGCCAGAGCCTGCTCTAATCGGTCAAATTAGAAAAAGGAAACCAAAAGGTCTCCAGCCCCAAAATCATGTCCCCCACCCACAGACCTGTTCTGTCTATAGATATGAATTTCTCATCAACACGTTTTCCCTCTTCTGCTGGTGAGTTACAGTCAGGTAACAATGCAGATTTAGTCATATGACGTTCATAGTGCAGAACAGTTGACTTACAACATAATGGATTTTGATTTGATTCCCAAATATTAAAGAGATTACTTAGGATGTTTTAGCCTGTTAACTTGAAAATCAAATTTAGCTCTTTACATTTTTTATCAAATGATGTGGATTGGTAAACTCTATATTGGCATTTTTAGTGATTGCACACTACATTTATGGAAATAACATTTTCAGCAGTTTCAGGTTTTATATCGGCTGTGTTTGTGAGGTAGTGTTAGTGTCACTGTGTTTATTTTCAGATCTTCACCTGAAACCATTGACTCATTATTATTCACCTTGGCCTGTATTTGCTTCGAAAGTTGTTCTAGACATTATATTCTGTTGA